ATGCAATGAAAAGACAACCAAACTATTTACAAGTCTGTCTCAAGCAGCGCAGCAGCAAAGAATAGCAAAGAGCGACCAAAATGATATACAGGTGACAACCATATTCATCAGTTTGCAAGCTTTGAAGTATTTACATGTAGGAAAACAAACAAAAAACTCGGTTCATGACGCAGTTAACACATGCATCAGAGTTTTGCTTGCAATCCACAAGACAGCAGGATGAAGTAGGTCAATGCAGCTCTTGGATTTCAATGTTGATGTCGTCATCATCATTGCAACAATCACTGCCAGCTTCATCCTCTGTATCCTCCTTACTAGCGGCAATGCTCTCGGGTGACCAAACCCTTCCAGCTGAGGCAGTAAATATATTATCTTGGCAAATGGCAAGAACACGACGGTGAAGGCGTGATGAAGATGCGTGCAATTTATTTTATTTTATTGAAAACCACAAACCTTCAGACATGTGAATAGGGCTCAAACGGTTAGTCCGATTAACCGGTTACGAAGAATTAACGGTTAACCGATAAAGATAACGGTTAATACGCAGTAACTTTTCAGTCAATTTTTCAAGTATCAGGTCGTTGCAAAGTATGCACTTTCGCAGGCTGTCGCACGCGTACGCAATTTCTGGGCTGTCAACTCGGTCATATCTGGTCTCTTGGTGCGGGAGTATGTATGAATGAGCATGCAAGAGAATGTACATGTGTGCGTTGTACTGAATAGGGTACATTTTTTGAATGAGTATAGTCAAATATACGGTTAAAAAAGAGTCCGCAGGATTGACGTGGCTTATACTGTAGAACGGGTAATTTTAGCGACGTAAAAACCCTGGCAAATTTAGCGATCTACTCATTTTCGTTAAAGTTTCAAGTCGCTAATCCGTTGAGATATTAGTAGTGTACTGGTGATCCGTGAGTAAAATCGTTGCAAATCGCTAAAATAAAACGTCGCTAACCGGTTGACAATGGGAAAACGCTAAAATTAATAGTGGCTAAAATTAATAGTCGCTAAAATTACCCGTTCTACAGTAGGTTATAACCGTTAAACCGACCGTTAGCTGTGCAGTTAACCGTTAGGGGTAAAACCGTGACCGTTTGAGCCCTACATGTGAATGTGCACATGATATACAGACTGTACATGCGTATGTATAGAGAAGGCAACACAGAAACGGCAGTGGTGGTGAGGCCTGGGCAGCTCGTCCGACCGTGGGTCCTCGGACTCAACACTGGGCAGACGCACCGGGAGGGAGGGAGGGGGGGGGGGGTGGTAGCTTAGGAGATAAGGGATGGAGCCACACACACACGCGCGCACGCACACACACACACACACACGTGCGCGCATGCACGCAGACGCATAGTCATACATGATACTTGTGCGCGGACTCACTCTCTCACAATAACGTCCACAAACCACCGTGCCGAGTCCCTACAGCCGGTCGGTCGCCCAGTCCCAGTGGCTCGAGCGCAGGAATCGGTGGACGCTGCACTTGAAGGACTGCAACCTTTTCTGGTCGGGCTGATCCCGGAGGTGTTGGCGAGGCAACTGGTTCCAGGTGTCCAGCACTCCTTCAGGGAACGACCGGCGGACGTTGTTGCGGGAATTGGCTGGGATATCAGACTGCAGCTGGTAGCGGTGGCCGGCCGCCCCCGCGCCTGCTGCCTGGTGTTGGCAGGATGTTGGTCATGGTCTGGTACTGCTTGGGAGGGGGGAGGGGGGGGCAGCATTCGGGTTAGCATCTGTGGGTCTGTCAGGTAATGGATTTTATAGAGATAGCAGAGAGCAGCCACTTTGCGCCGGAGTTCGAGGTTTGGCAGATATGCGCCTTCGCCGATCAGATGCAGGGGTCTCCGCTGTACAGCATCGAATTGGGCCAGCACCGTCTGAGAAGCACCCATCCAGACTAGCATGCCATGCTCTAAGATGGGGCGAACAAAGCCGTTGTAGACCGTGAGTCGGCAGCCAGGATCAAGCACTGCTGAGGCCTTCTTCAGGAAGCCCAGCCGTCGTGTGGCGCGCATGGCTGACTGTCGAATTTGCTGGCAGAATGTCAGTTTACTGTTGAAGGCTATCCCGAGTAGCTTCAGGCACTGGGTTTCAGGGACCATTTCACCTTGGAATGTGACTGGAGGGCAATCCCAGGGCCGACGGTGGTGGCTGACGTGGAGCAGGTATGACTTGGCGGGCTCGAATGTCACTCGCCAGGTTGCACCCCAGGCAGCAAGGGCATTGACGGCGGTCTGGAGATCATCACAGGCAGCTGCGAGGTTGCCGAGACACCGAATACACTTGTAGAGCGTTGTGTCGTCTGCGTACGAGGCAAGGCTGGTCGATTGGGGAAGGTGGTCCTCAGCGTCATTAATGTACAGCAAGAAAAGAGTGGGCCCCAGGATGCTTCCTTGAGGCACACCTGCTCGGATGACGTGTGTGGCTGATGAATTTATCTCCAAGAAGATCACATTCAGTCTCAGGTACAGCACCACACAGAACGGCCACAAAGTTGAAGAGAATATCCGGAACAGTCTTAACAGACCGCTCCTCCGATAAATCTGATATGTCAGGTGGCCGAGGCATGGACGGTTTCACTTGCCTGGTGACAGTTTTTAAGAGGCAGGTGGCTTCATAAAGCACACATTGCGGCTCATTTGATGAGCTTGCAATTGAATCATGGATCTCAGACTGAAAGGAGATGTCTTCAACGTCTCTCGTGTGTACCGCTTTAGACTTTCTATACTGCTCAATAAACGGTCCTGCAGATGCTTCAGAGCTGTAAATCAGTTCTGGTTCTCTGCGGGATGCAGGCCGATGGAACTGCAACCGGTCGCCGAAGTGCTGAGGCGTTGCTTCACCGCGAAGGACCTCTGAACATGACCAATCAATCCTAGTTCGTCCAGGAATCGACTGTAACGTTTACATACTTCAGTCGTATCTGTTGCGGAGTTACTCTGAGTCAGGACACTAATTTCAATCCACTCACACAATTTCATGAATGCCTGCGCCTTCACATCGCCATTCTGGGCCAGATCAGAATCCACTGCATCATTAGCAAGACGTTTCAGAGACTTCTTGTTTACGTACAGTAAAAAACAGCTATGGTGATACTTGATCTCATTTGCTATACCATCCTGATTTTCAAGTTCGTTCAATATTCTAGCGTGGCTGCGTGTACAAGCAGCATAGAGCAGACTAAACTCTGCCTTGTATGTGGCGCACTGAGTCAATTTCTCTGCCAAGTGCCTGTTCTGCGCGTCAGGTTTATTCCTGGCACACCACACACTTGCTCAGATCAGTCGTGCCTGTTGCGCTTCGGGTCTGCCTGCCTGATTCGGGTCCAGAGCACTCTAGAACAAGTTTTTCTTCAAACGTCAAAGGCTTCTTGATGGACTCTGTATGCAGAAACCCACTACAGCTGCCCCTCTTTAATCCAGCACTCTATAAACCAGCACCCTCTATAAACCAGCGCAATTTCCAGTAGCCTAAATGTTCTCTTTATGCATATTGCAACAGTAAATCAGATCTGTTATTCCAGCACCCTACCTAATCCAGCACAATTTCCGGTGCACAAATGGTGCCGGATTATGAAGGGACCACTGCATACTCTAGATACATGTACAGTTTCCGTATGCAGCGGAAGATCGCCATATCTAACAAACGGACAACTGTACAGACTTGCCGCTACTTTTATCGTCTTCGGCAGCCACAACTTAGTCAGAAACAGCTCTAAAGCTCCTACTTGCCACGAAACTTCTAAAATATGGCTGTTTTCCGAAATGGGACCCCGCACTAACCCACTCACTCACTCACTCCTATATACACTCCAATACTCGCTCACTCGCTCACTCACGCGCCCACTTACTCAGTAACTCACTCACTCTCCCTAGCCTAGGGCACGTAGGACATGTCAATCCAAACTTATCACAATCCTACCAGAATACTGTTAGTGTAGTACTGAAGTTGCCGGACATACGGTGAGTTAGTTGCCTACTTGTACTTGGGTAAGAGCCAGTGGACTGAAGGAGTGAAAGCGTACAGTGCCAGGGATGTACGTTGTATTGTGTACTATGTCTTCACTGTGTGCACTGTACTGTGTGTACTGTGTGTACTGTGTGTACTGTGTGTACTGTGTGCACTCACTGTGACTGTACTGTGTGTACTGGGGTGTGCATCCCCTGCTATAGATCTATGTCTTCACTGTGTGCATTGTACTGTTTGTACTGTGGTGTGCATCCCCTGTTCTAGATCTACTCTACTGTGGACAATGTAATCCGCTGCGACCTTGTGGACACGTCCGACCCCGACCGCGATATCTCGGTGTGTGCCACGCTAGTCAGCCAGAACGCCGCTGAGGCTCGCGAGGAAACGACTGAATCCAAGGTATACCACCACCCAGCCCCACCCTAGTCTCACTCTCTTTCTCGTATTTTGTCTTCTTCCTGCATGTGTCAATCCACCCCCTTCGTCTAGTGTGAGGGTTTGCACGTGGGGTTTGTGTGCATATCATTCGGGAGACATACCATACAGAGAGCCATACCATAATATAGGGAGTCATACCATAATATAGGGAGTCATACCATACGGGGAGTCATACTGTACAGGGAGCCGTTCCATACATACAGGGAGACAACGCGAGCTCATAGTACCCGAAACGATGTTCGTTTCGAACCCGGATTCGGAATTTCTGCGTGACTCGCTATCTAAGCAACTCGTGATCTTGATCGTGGCCTTGACCCGCTGACCCTAAGGCTGTGTTTACATGAGGCGTTTCAACCCGGGTCAGATTTCAACCCGCCATGTACACAAAATGAATGGCGCGTTTACATGACGCATTGCGCTTGACCTGGGTTGAAATTTTGCCCCGGGTTGATTTCAACCCTCCCCCCCCAAGGGGAGGGTTGAAATCAACCCGGGTCAAGAAAATCGTACAAACGTACTTCTGTGCGTATCTCGCGCCAGGTTTGAACAGCACTGCACATGCAAATTTCGCGCGAACGGATTCACGTGACCATACAGGACTCTAGAAGTGGACTTTTGGCGGCATATCAGTATTTGACCCGGGTCAACTGTCTTCATGTAAACACTCACCTATTTTGTCTATCGTACAGATTTTCAACCCGGGCTGAACTCGACCCGGGTTGAAATTTCTCATGTAAACACAGCCTAAGCACGGCCCAGGCAAGCGATGCCGCATGTACGTATGTGCTATTGTGTGTAAACCAACCCTGCCCCATGGGTGACTGGAACGGGCAGCCCGAAAGTGACACCCACATCGTTTAGCTGTACAAGTTCTTGTACGATCGCCCCACGCGTCCTCTCCCTAGATGCTACAGCTCGCTGATGTGCCTGACATTGTACAGTAACAGTATGTATATCAGCTGGCCAATGCTGTACATGCACACCAGCTGTTGTTCTGTTGGCATCTATCAGCCATGCGCAAGTGTGACCTTTGCACACCGCTTGCTACTCATCACAGTTGCATTCTTTTCACTCGGGAGTTGTGCACATGCGATCATGCACTGGCATGTACCTCTAATGCATGGCTTTTGCAACATGACGTCAGCATTGGAAGGCTTTTTCTGCGCTGTGACTGGGGATATGATGTATTCACCGGTACAATGATGCACAACCATCCTCTTCGTTCTCTCTCTCTCTCCCTCTCTCTCTCTTTTCTCTCTCTCTTTCTCTCTCTCTCTCCCCCTCTCTCTCTCTCTCTCTCTCTCTCTCTCTCTCTCTCTCTCTCTCTCTCTCTCTCTCTCTCTCTCTCTCTTTCCCTCTCTCTCTCTTTTTCTCTCTCTCTGGTTCTTGTTCGCCTACTCACTCTATTGTTGTATTCAGCTTGCCCACGAGAGGCGTCTTGCTATTCTCGAAGGAAGACAAGTTCCTCAAGCGGTTGAAGCAGCTGCAGCTTCAGCTAGTTCTTGGAGGGATCAGTTTGCATTCAGCAAGGCACCTGTCGAAGCTGGCTGGACTGACGCTGGTACCTCATTTGGTGATGGGAGCTATCAGCGGGAGCGTGAAGAGGTACGTCTGCTTGCCAAGCCTGTTGCTTCGCTTCAAACATTGCATGCTACGTTTGCCGGACCTGACTGCTTTGTGTCTGGATTTCACTGGTGTGTATGGATAGACTGTGGCTGGTACTGTTCAGGCACTGTCTGTTATCGGCGGCAAGGTCATGTCATTATGTCTTCGGCTGTTGGCATCACCATGCCGTGTTTATGGCCAATGCAATTTCAGAATGGCGGCGTTGTGTCTCTTGTTTCTACAGATTAACGTCAAAGGACCGTACAGTGCGTATGAACTCCAGTTCTGCTCTATGACCAAGACTCACCAGTATGTGTCGGGAACATTGATTCAGTAATCCAAGATGCTTTTGGACGTTTCCTACAGTTTCATGTTTTCTAAAGAAATATATAGGAATACTAGTATGACATTCATGTATAGGAATAAGCACTTGTTATGGGTGCCCGGTAGTCATATCTCAGTGGCATAAGAATTCAATTGTTGCTTGATAACACTAGCTGTGTGATAGAAGCCACGTGTACAGCAGAGCAACTCAGAATGTTGTGGATCATGTCGTATCAGAGCATGAGCGAGGAGTTCGGAGACCGTACACCCTGCTCTGATGCGTGACTCATTTATGCTGCCCCCCACTGGCTGTCGCTGCTGTGTGTGTGTGTGTGTGTGTGTGTGTGTGTGTGTGTGTGTGTGTATGTGTGTGTGTGTATGCGTGTGTGTGTGTCATGTGTGTGCATGTGTGTGTATGTGTGTGCGTGGGTGTGTGTGTGTGTGTGTGTGTGTGTGTGTGTGTGTGTGTGTGTGTGTGTGTGTGTGTGTGTATGTGTGTGCGTGGGTGTGCATGTGGGTGTGCATGTGCGTGTGTGTGTGTGTGTGTGTGTGTGTGTGTGTGTGCAATGCAGTCATGCGCGCGTGGAGCGCGACTCGGTGAACAGCGCGGCAGTTGACGACCTGCAGACCAGCGGCTTTAAGCGCATGGCAGTGGCGGCCACCGTGGGACTTGCTCCCAGCGGCTTCAATGTCATCGTCAGGTTAGTTAGAACACTGTGCTGCTTGGCCTGTTTGTGTGTCTCATCTAGGACTAGTACAAATCTAGTGTGAAACTTCCAATCTGTCCAGGGGACCTCTCAGCCAAAGGAAACCAACCTGGGGACCTCTCAGCCAAAGGAAACCAACCTGGGGACCTCTCAGCCAAAGGAAACCAACCTGGGGACCTCTCAGCCAAAGGAAACCAACCTGGAGACCTCTCAGCCAAAGGAAACCAACCTGGGGACCTCTCAGCCAAAGGAAACCAACCTGGGGACCTCTCAGCCAAAGGAAACCAACCTGCCGTAGGTGACCACTAGAAGCAGGACTAAAGGGTGTCTGCTGTCTCTGTCCAGGTCATGTAGCCCTGGATAAGGGGATTGCCAGGTCATGTACCCCTGGATAAGGGGATTGCCAGGTCATGTAGCCCTGGATAAGGGGATTGCCAGGTCATGTAGCCCTGGATAAGGGGATTGCCAGGTCATGTAGCCCTGGATAAGGGGATTGCCAGGTCATGTAGCCCTGGATAAGGGGATTGCCAGGTCATGTAGCCCTGGATAAGGGGATTGCCTCTACAGAGTAGGAGGTCCCTTGACCAGGTTTCACTATGTATGTCTGTCATTGTCTGATAATAAAATAGTAGCAGTATTATCATCATTCTAGTGCACGCACTTTACTATCAATTTTAGTGCTGCCACTGATAGTGACTTTTAATGTACTTGAGTATGACTTTGTGCTGCCTGTGCTTTTGGCTTCTTACATCAAGGCAGCATACTTTGTGCTCACGCCAATGGGTGTAGGTGTTGCCTTAGGCGTCGATGAAGGAGGTTCCACCCCTCAGCATGTGCTGGTGAGCTCTGCCTCTGCTCAGTATGGTCATGACGCCTTCCTGGTGATGTGTGTGTGTGTGTGCGTGTGCGTGTGTGTGCGTGCATGTGTGTGTGTGTGTGCGTGCGTGCGTGCGTGCGCATGTACTCGTGCCTGTGAATATGCGTTGCTCTGGCTTGTAGAGAGAGCACTGTCATGCCTAATATCAAAGGTCTGCCCGCTTTGATCACTATGCTGTTCTGCCCAACGCTGGAGATGCGGTAAGCAGAATTACGAGTATCCTTTTCCAGTTCTTCAATGTCTTGTGCTCTTCTTTTCAATGTGTGAATGGAGGGTGGCATCGGAGCGAAGACATTCAGCTAGTCTTGGTGTTGAGCCGTCAAGTGTTGTGCTACAGTGTGGTGCATAGTCATTCTCACCTCACAACAAGCATGCCAGGCAATGAGAATGGATGAAAGCATGAAGTGTGTTTAGCTTATATGAATGAACAATTGTGTACATTAATAATAGGAAAGAAAACAAGCAAAGAACTACAAGTAAGTTACGCTAGAATGTCCACTAACACAACTGCAGTTTTAAAAGTTACTTGACTATCTTGACTATTGACTTGGTCCTTTTCTTTCCAGTAAATTTATCCTTGGCTCTACATCCGAATTGTGTACATGTGTATGTTTGTTTGTTTGTCATGCGTACAGCACTGACCCTTTCCATCGCTACTACATCGGTTGCTTGTGTGGTTCTGGCTCTAAAGCAAACACTGATGTTGGCGCGAATCCTGACGACGATATCGAGGTGGTGTTCGACGTTGAGTTTGATCAGCAGGACCTGGTGGATGTATGTACACCGTGTGTCTGTCTCAGTGTCGGTGCCTGTGTGTGTGTGTGTGTGCCTGTGTGTGCCTGTGTGTGTGTGTGTGTGTGTGTGTGTGTGTGTGTGCCTGTGTGTGTGTGCATGTGTGTGTGCCTGTGTGTGTGTGTGTGTTTGCCTGCCTGTGTGTGTGTGTGTGTGTGTTTGTGTCTGTGTGTGTCTCTGTGTGTGACTGTCTGTGTGTGTCTGTGTGTCTGTGTCTGTATGTGTGTCTGTGTGTCTGTGCCTGTATGTGTGTCTGTGTCTGTCTGTGTCTGCCTGTGTCTGTGTGTGTTTGTGTGTGTGTGCGGTTGTGCGTGTTTGTGCATGTGTGGGTCTGTCTGTCGCAGTGACTGTACCTGTGTCTGTGTGCCTGTCTGTCTGTTTGTCGGCCTGTCTGTCGGCCCGTCTGTCTGTCTGTATGTATATGTGTGTTTGGGATTATAGCCACAACAGAGTCATCACATAGTAGGGGTGGTCACAGAAACAAGTAACGAAACATCATTGTCGAGACTGCAATTCACTTTAAGCAGAACAGTGCGTTTTACAGCCATACTATCAACCCTGCATGTACGGTGCTTTGATCTGCTTTTCTCTGTGCTCTTTGATGTAGATCAATGCCATTCGACATGGTATGAATATTGCTCTGGCGGACAACGGCAACTTTGAGAAAGTGAAGTGGGCCGGTGGTCCTGCCAATCGACTGCAGAGAGTGCAGCAAGAAAAGATCATGAAGTATGTCGTGCTCGCTCTGCTTAGAAGTGCTGCCGTCGATTTTTTCTCTGTGCACTGTGTGTGTGTGTGTGTGTGTGTGTGCTTGGGTTCCTGTGCCGTTCTATAAACTTGGAAATGGGTAAACGAAGCACGGCCGCCGTGCACCCAACAGCACTACTGTCAGACCAGCTTTAACTTAACCCGTCGATAGTACTGCGATGGTCCAATCAACCATGATAACACAGGGTAGATAGCTGTATTTTGTGGCAAAAAACCTGGGTGTGACTTATACTCCGGAAAGTACGGTACATGCTGCGCGAGGTCAGTAGAATACCGTACTCACTTGATTAGAAGCCCGGGGCTTCTAATCTTCCATTGCCTAATTTGAGGAGGCTTCTATAGGTGGGGGGGGGGGGGGGGGGGGGAGGGGGGCCTCTAACGAAGGTGGAACAGAATATTTTGTAACTCCGAGTTTCCCGCTTATGCGATCATCAGGCAAGAATATTATTCTAATATCAAATGAGGAATGTGGTCTTGTTCTATTGAATCTATTCAAAAGGAAAGTATTTAAAAAGCGAAGAATTGTTGCATGAGGAATACACTGGGAACCACACATACACATGCACCCACGCCCCCCCCCCCCCCCCCCACACACACTTGCACGCACGCGCACACACACACACACGCTTGCACACACACACACACACACACACACACACACACACACACACACACACACACACACACACGCGCGCGCGCTTGCACACACACACGCTTGCACACGCTTGCTCGCACACACACACGCGCGCGCTTGCACACACACACACACACACACACACACACACACACACACACACACACACACACACACACACATGTACCGTGTATATGCACGTCGCAAGAGAAGCATGCAAATCTGCAAATGCACTGGATGTGCACCCACAGGTTTTCTCTTATAGCAACGGTAGCGAACAAGATCTGAATGAGACAGATCAAGACTTGCGCCAGATAACTGTCTAATCCACACAACTGGCGAAGCCATGTGAATCGACCACCAATGCACACCTGGTCTACACCACACGGACTACATCGGCATAAAACGGCCAAGACAGTTACCTATGCACACCCTGCACTTGCTGGGGTAACCAGTATAGACAGCACGCTGCTTTGATAGAAGCAGACACTAGATGCACTGGTACCTTGAAGTGAAATTGGAGTTACTTTACCAACCAGCCTCAGCTACTGAGTACTGGGAACCCAGAGCCAACAGACATACCAACAACCTCAGCCATGAAAGATATTATAGTAACGACACACTGGATTGTGGAGTCGAAACTAGTTCAACTTCCAAATGCTCTAAGGTAGCCTTCCGACAGGTTGGCACACACACACACACCTCAGACCTCAGACATGCCCATCGCGGAAGCGATGATAGCGAACAGCTATGTTAGACATAGCAACTTGTGCTGAGATTACACCATTCAACAGCTTGCAAGGCTGATGAATTGACCGCCACTAATTTTAGCCTGGTATCCACCACACAGCTGATTGAAGCATGAAGCACACACACACACACACACACGCACGCACACACACACACACACACACACACGCGTGCGTGCGCATACACACACGAGCAACAAACAACAACACACACACACACACATGTATACTCACACTCACTCCTGCAGACAATGCGCTCGAGTTTGTAATTGTGCATGGCCAGCATGAATTAATTGTTGTTGTACATTTTAAAAATGCAGTAGAAGTTTAGCCATGACCAGGTTCTTGAGCGGCCACACGCGATTGACTGACGGTCTGACCTTTTCCCTTGTCTCGTGACCGCAGTGGCTGCGTTCGATTATGCAGTTGAATCGATTCATGAATCCATTCGCATGCATTCAAGTCGTTCGATTTTCATGTCATGAGCCCTGGAATCGATTCGGAATCCATTCACCCTATTCACATGGGGTGATGTGAATAGCGCGAATCGATTCGTGAATCGATTCGCGCGCATAATCGAACGCACTCAGTTTATCCCGTGAGTGTTAATCCCGTACAACGGGACTTTGCATTCTCCAATGTTCTGCTGTGTATGTGTGTGTTGCTAGGCTGTTCCAGCGTGACCGTAAAGGCATCACATCTCTGGAGTCATCCGAGAATGAGTACAAGTGGAACAAGGTGAAATACTCAGCAGTTGTGGCTGTTGCTGTGGCTGTTGCTGTGGCTGTTGCTGTGGCTATTGTTGCCATTGTGGTTGTCGTTCTTGTGGTCATCATTGTGGTTGTTGTCGTTACTGTCATCGTCCTAGTATATGCATAGCTGCTACCACGGCCAATGCGTTTGTACTTATTGTAAGCAACACTTGCATGGCTTGTCATTGTATGCAGCAATTCAATGGCTTGTTAGTTGTTACTGCCTTCATGCTCCGGTGTGTTTCCCTTTCCCTCCTACACTGCAGGTTCATGCTGAAGAAGTGGTACACGCCGAGACTCTAGACGGCAGCTTGCAGGATGCCGGTCCCATCCCGTTCATGTACCTGCACAATGGCATTCGCTTGCAGTCCGATGACGTACTTAAGCGCAAACAGCAGAGCAGCACCAGCAGCAGCAGCGGCGGTGGCGGCGATGAGGTTGCCGAATGTACACCTGCTGCTGCTGCGCGCGCTGATTTGAAGGAGATGCGCGCCAAAGTTCAGAGCCTGTACACCATTGCTTCCCGGTAGGTGCTTTGAGTGTGCTTTGAGTGTGCTTTGAGTGTACACCATTGCTTCCCGGTAGGTGCTTTGAGTGTGCGCCCTACTGTGCGGCATGGCGCATTGCCTGCTGCTCTGTTGTCAGCGTCTTGTTTGTGATCTCTGCTGCATATGCTGTGGTGTGGTGTGTGCACTACATTTTCCCCTTTAAACACAGTGGCCACCGAACAAAAAAATGGGTTCACAGCGCTAGGACTCCTTCTCTTCTATCCACTAGGAACTTGAATAAATTCAACAGAAAATTACACAACCGTATGGCCCCATGTATTATCATCAACTTCAAAATATAAATAAAAGTTGAAGTTGCACAACTAATTTGAGATAGACATTGCCATTGCTTTATGCAGCAACCTGCCACTAGGCTTTGAAGGGAACAATGCATAGACTGGCCATAGTGTTAAGGCCGATTCATACTTCATGTCGCGTACGGGAAAGTCATCGCGCGACGGCTTTCCCGTACACGAAATAGTTGAGCTCAGATCAACTTTTTCGCGACGTGACGCGTTTCCCGTACGCGAAATGAAGTATGAATCGGCCTTTATGTATGCTTGTTTTTACATTTCTCTGTCCTCCTCCTCCTCCTCCTCCCCTCCTTCTCTCTCTGTCTTTTCACTTCATTTCATTGTATTGTGCAGGAGTGACGCCCCCCTGGAGACAAGAGTGGTGTGTCCAACTTGCGACTTTGTTGCTGCCACAGCACATGACCTATTGCGTCATGTCAATAGCCGCACTCATCGTGAACAGGAACGCAAGATCTTTTCTTGATGCTGCTGTCCAGCATGCGCAGCCGATACACTGTGCACTGCTCCAGTTCTCTCCCCCCCCCCCCCCCTCCAGCACACACACACACGTACACACACACACACGTGCGCATGCGCAATTGCCGTCTCGCCGTTGGTTAATTGTTGCAGTGGCTGTGTGAGCTGTGGAAGCTCCGGTGTAACGTTATGTACATGTATGTATGTGTGTCTAGCGTTTATGTTTGAAACATGTGTCTTGCATGTGGGTGTGCATGGAACACTCTTTGAAATATCGATCAGGGCTTTAAGCCGCTTGATAGCAGTTCTTATGGCATTTTTCTCATGTAAACAGACATATTTTTTCCCTTGCAGCTGTCCATTATGCCTCCATTCCCCTATCAAGACTGGTGGTGTCTGGTCTTTTATGTACGGGCTATCTGCCAATTCTGAAAAGCTGGTCTTTTCCCTATTTCGTACGAAAACTGTTGTATAACTGTATGTGCAAATGCAACAACCACCTTGACAATACAGTATGTTGCTTTTGCCAGTTCGTTCCTCTCCGTGATGGCCTGCATTTTTTGTTTTGTTTTGATGCTGCCAGATCGTGCGTGTTACTTTGCTGTGTTTTGTACTTTGGCGGCGGATCTCTGTGTTTCTTTTCTCTCTCTCTTTTTTTAATTTAAAGTTTCGCCATGTTGAATGAACAGTTGTGTTTGGATATTGAGGAAGGTCCTGATTCCAGTGTGCTACTTATTACTATGAATTTATGATACAATGGCTAAGAACAAGTGGCAGCAGACAGGATGCACCATCACCAGTTTTGCGTGCGTGTGTGTGTGTGTGTGCGTGTGCGTGTGTGTGTGTGTGTGTGTGTGTGTGTGTGTGTGTGTGTGTGTGTGTGCGTGTGTTTTATGCAAGGTAACTTACAGTAGGAATAAGTATTTTGTTAGAGAAATTTGAGAGAAAAAGGTTTGCTCTTGTTAACAATTAGAAGTACATCAACCTCAGGGGAAGGGGGGGTGAACAATTAGAGTACAGCATTTCTTCTGACAGCTGTTTCGGTCATCAGAGACCTCATCAGAGAAGATTGAGTTGTTGAATGACTGGAAAAGAAATAATTCCCTATTTTATAGACTCTTGAAACAAGCGAGAAACAAGAGATGGCGCATCAATAAGCGCGCATTTGTTTGTGGTGTAGAAGTGGACGCAGTGTGTGTGTAGTCAATTGACGCGAATATCCAGCAGTTCATCTAATTCAAGAACAATGATATGTTGGCGGCTGAAAACAAAGAAAAAGAGGATGCCAGGGATTTCAGGGATCTGTACAACTTGTACTAACCGGCATAAGCCTTATTGGGAAATGATGTATAAATACGAGCATCTAGTTGTTACATGTCTTGTTCACACTGGGTTCCTCTACACGTCTTGTTCATACCTGGTTCCTCTACACGTCTTGTTCACACCGGGTTCCTCTAGTAAGCAAAGCTAGGGCACAAAGTAAGATGAAAACTGAGTGCCGGTGAGGGATACATCGGTGAGCGGTGCAAGAAGGCCGAAGAACAACACCATGGCAACAACATGGCCGACCATCAACACTGGAAGCAGGCACAAAGGACAGGAACAGATGTACCCACAACAGATACTATAAAACCTTCGTGAAATGGCGCTTCAGCTGGTTCTGTTTATTGCAATCAATAATCCTTAAACTTGTGTCACCTCGCCACCGTTTCACAACAGATACTGTTTGTAATTTTAGATAGCACCCATATTTCGGTTAAGTTTAACTTGGCGGCCAGCGTCTACCTTCACCCACAGTGCATACCAGTATTCTACTGGTGTTCTTATGGCTTATACATCACCTAAATCCAGGTACCTGGTTTCGTACCAAAATTCGACAGGTAATCGTCGTGCCAGAAACGAAGCATCTCTGTAATTTTGTATCTCTCGGTGGAATTTGGGGCTCGAGAGCATGATAAAAGTGGTGCTCTCCAGGCACAAGCCTTGTAATTAGCCTACTCAGGCTTTTTAAGGTGAGAGGTGATTCCCCCGAAACACTGTCCATGGAGCAGGAGTGGTGCCATGCCGGGTAACAGATTGTAAGGTAGTCTCACCTGATTTGTGTGGATGAGCTGGTATCTCTCCAAAGTTTGGCAAGCCCAGCATGTTGCAATAGGCATGTGAGAGGTAGCATGCCACAAAGTGACCTGCAAAGGAACGCCACATAATGAACGCACACACACACACACACACACACACACACGCACACACACGCACACACGCGCGCACACACACACACACACACACACACACACACACACACACACACACACACACGCGCAAATAACACAGACACACATGATGCTCTGCTCTTCACGCACATCCAATGCCTGTTGGTGCGTACACTAGCAGCTTACCAAGGGTTCACCAAAGTGTATCGACAGCGCCTGATGGCACCCAGGGCCAAGCCCGAAACACAACAAGTGCCAATATCTTATGCAAGCACCCATCGCTGCGCATGAAACTCAAATTACCCTAATCACACACACGCATAGGAACATGGTCTTATTGATACCTCGCTGTGCCTAGTCCTTGCCCTGGCACACTGTTCCTTGCATGAACGTGCCATGTTGTTGTGTGCCAGCACAGCACATCGCTTGTACACAGTGGGTATGGACAACATGTTTCATGCAGCACATGTTGCGAACACACTGTGACTACGAAATCTTGCATGGCTAGCGAGTTTCATTCAGTGACAAGATCAAGTTCTTGTAGTCGGAGGTGATATTGAATTCGACCATGAAAATGTCTTATACATGTACAGTCAACTTCGCCAATAACGACATTCGGCGGGGCATCAGAAAAGTGTCCTTATTCGCGAAGTGTCCTTATAACCGAAGTCCCATTTGAATGTATGGGAACCCATATTTTGTATAGTATGATATGCATATCAAAATCAAGCTCTTTTCTTGCTCTATGTCAATGTGTACTTTATTTTCATATTGCAGTTGAAAGGAACTAAAAATTCAATATGCAAGGGAAATCAATTGAAAAATATGCCTTTTTGAGCCATCTACAGGGCTAGAGATATGTACATGTATGATGATTACTGTACAATCATGTACAACTACATGTACATTGTATACATATAGGTGTGCTGGTAAATCCAACAATTTTGAAGCCAACATAAAAAAAGGAAGAAAAGCCCCCCCCCCCCCTTGGCTGCATTTTCTGGCATGTGTGCAATAATATCCATCACCAGTGCAGTGCACCATAGGTTCTGGTACTTCTGCATGACAGGTACATGTACTTGACTGACAGGTACTTGAAATAGCTGTCAAAAGCCCAGAAAGTCGTTATTCAAGCAGTGAATATGACCACGGGGCACTAAAAGCATGTCGCTATACGCGAATTGTCGTTATTCAGATAGTCGTTATATCCGAAGTTAAATGTATACAGTTAGATGGGACTTTGCTCTGGGCATGGAAATTCGGTCGTTATTCGCGAATTGTCGTTATATCCGCAGTCGTTATTAGCGAAGTTGACTGTATGTGCGAAACAGTAGCACAATAAAAGCCTTGGCTCGCACAAAAGCTCGCCAACAGCACCTCACCAGTTCTAAGAAAGAGGAATGCCGAGAAAGCACCAAAGAGCGTGGTGTAGCAGATTTGAGCGCCTGCAATGCACAACAAAGTTGACAAAAGTTCATTCATGGCTAGGAGCGGGAGGATGTGGGTTATGATTGGTTCGCGCATAAGTCAAATCAGTGCCGTGAGTCGCCGGAGGTTGCCCAGATCACGATTAGCTGCAGTGCCAACCAGAGATTAGGTGTATATGGTTCGATTACTAATAGACATAAAAAAGTACTACATTTGTGTACAAAGGAGTAGACAATGTGCCGTTAAAATTGTTGTGCAGCCAGCGGCTCTAGTGACACTAGTACTACCTTGGGCTGCTGCTGTTGCTAGTGGTGTTGCTGCTACTGGTGTTGCTGCTACTGGTGTTGCTGCTACTGGTGTTGCTGCTACTGGTGTTGCTGCTACTGGTGTTGCTGCTACTGGTGTTGCCGCTACTGGTGTTGCCGCTACTGGTGTTGCTGCTACTGGTGTTGCTGCTACTGGTGTTGCTGCTACTGGTGTTGCTGCTAGTGGTGTTGCTGCTAGTGGTGTTGCTGCTACTGGTGTTGCTGCTACTGGTGTTGCTGCTACTGGTGTTGCTGCTACTGGTGTTGCTGCTACTGGTGTTGCTGCTACTGGTGTTGCTGCTACTGGTGTTGCTGCTAGTGGTGTTGCTGCTACTGGTGTTGCTGCTACTGGTGTTGCTGCTACTGGTGTTGCTGCTACTGGTGTTGCTGCTACTGGTGTTGCTGCTACTGGTGTTGCTGCTACTGGTGTTGCTGCTAGTGGTGTTGCTGCTAGTGGTGTTGCTGCTAGTGGTGTTGCTGCTAGTGGTGTTGCTGCTAGTGGTGTTGCTGCTACTGGTGTTGCTGCTACTGGTGTTGCTGCTACTGGTGTTGCTGCTACTGGTGTTGCTGCTACTGGTGTTGCTGCTACTGGTGTTGCTGCTACTGGTGTTGCTGCTAGTGGTGTTGCTGCTAGTGGTGTTGCTGCTACTGGTGTTGCTGCTACTGGTGTTGCTGCTACTGGTGTTGCTGCTACTGGTGTTGCTGCTACTGGTGTTGCTGCTACTGGTGTTGCTGCTACTGGTGTTGCTGCTACTAGTGTTGCTGCAAGTGGTGTTGCTGCTACTGGTGTTGCTGCTACTGGTGTTGCTGCTAGTGGTGTTGCTGCTACTGGTGTTGCTGCTACTGGTGTTGCTGCTAGTGGTGTTGCTGCTAGTGGTGTTGCTGCTAGTGGTGTTGCTGCTAGTGGTGTTGCTGCTAGTGGTGTTGCTGCTAGTGGTGTTGCTGCTACTGGTGTTGCTGCTACTGGTGTTGCTGCTAGTGGTGTTGCTGCTAGTGGTGTTGCTGCTAGTGGTGTTGCTGCTACTGGTGTTGCTGCTACTGGTGTTGCTGCTACTGGTGTTGCTGCTACTGGTGTTGCTGCTAGTGGTGGTGTTGTCTTGTGAAGCTGCACAACCTGGTCACATGCCAAAGAAGTTTGCACCTTTCGCCGTGACTGCTTAGCTTGCACCTCCTACCCTAGCAACAAGAAAACGGCACCTAAGGAGATGGTTTTGTGCCAACGAGTGATGTCACGGGGATCGTGTGCATGGTTGAAACGCGACATGCTGGTTGCAGAAAGTCTGCCCCCACCCCGCCAATTTGTGGGACTTCACAGCAAAGATCAAACACACATCTTCCAGCCTTGCTTACACGCAACGAGTATTAGTCGCTGGATACGCTCTCCATTACGATAAGCTTCCCATGCCAGATGGAGATGAGCTGTAGGACAAACAAGCACAACACATCATGCAGCAGCTGCAGAATATGCACCTATCCACACAATCCACAGTGTCACAGCAAGGCACTACCAGACGCATGGGACAAGCCAAAAGTCAACTTTTAATACACACAAAACAAAGAAAAAACAATGTCTGTGTAAAATCACCATGGTTCCGGGAGCATTATACAAGTCATGCCCCTTTCCTCCCTCCATTGCAACACAACAGACCCATACACATGCATGTGCGTCATTATCTAATGACGTTATACGACCCCCCCCCCCCCCCCCCACCCATGCAGCACACGTCACTTACCCACACCAAAGATTGCTGGTGCTAAGAACACACAGATTGTCACAGACCAGTGAGGTAGCAAGAGTGGTAGCATGCACGACCGAAACACAAACTCCTCAGCCAGCGGTGCCTAAAGGCAACGGAGCAAGCACCAGAAACCCACTGCTAAAGCACACGGCACACAAACTAAGAATATTCGAGGAAGGACAAAATAGCGAGGACAGAAAACCGAGCGTCCGGCACATACACATACATAGGTATGGCCACTGGGTACCCAATGCACACAGTCTAAAGCCCATACCACCATATACCATGTAACCACGCTAACACCTTGGAGATGTGAGCAAGCAGAGTGCCCGGTTGGCGGCTGCGTCACATCTCTAAGAACATGATCATGTTAGACTTACTGCAATGATATTGCGGAAGCCGTGAAGACACAGCAGATCACCCACATCTGGACAAGAGTCATACACACGCGCACACACACGCGCACACACACACACACACACACACACACACACACACACACACACACACACACACACACACACACACACACACACACACACACATACAGTACTAAGTCTTGTACAGGCATACCAGCTCACACACACACACAGTCTATGTACTACTTCACATGCATGCCATCACATTGTATACTGTAAAACCGGAAAATTTCGGTGAAGATTTATTTTCAGTAACTTCGGTACAGGTAATTTTTTATCAAAAATATAGCACGACCTAAAATTCAACCATGCCATGCCACACAGTGTGCAAAATGCATTTTTGGATCTGGAAAACCGGTTTACCGAAATTTTCGCACTAATCGAACTGTTGATTTTGGGAAATACGGAAAATATTACACCACCGAAAATTCCCGGTTTTACAGTAGATGAAGAGGAAGGAATCCAAGGCAAGTCTGCACAGTAGTACTATGCAAGGCAAGTCTGCACGGCAGTACTATGCAAAGCAAGTCTGCACGGCAGTACTACGCAAGGCAAGTCTGCACGGCAGTACTATCCAAGGCAAGTCTGCACGGTAGTACTATGCAAGGCAAGTCTGCACGGCAGTACCATGCAAGGCAAGTCTGCACGGCAGCACTATGCAAGGCACAGTGGCTACCTGACATCATGACGATGATGCACTTTCAGTTGGCATTGCTGGCGTTCAAGACATGTCGGCATACACACTCATCTTTTGTGTCTGTGTGTACGTGCGTATGTGTTTGTGTTTGTGTATGTCATTGTGTGCACCTGTGTCCAGCAACCAGTGCATGCATACCGGTAGTGCATTACAAGTAAAAATCTGCAACTCGGTGGAGCATAGGTGCTGAAGAAATACTTTCTTCAATCAGCAAGACAGTATACATGATCCAGTAGGTATACTGGGTCCAGCAATTATACAGGGTCCAGTAGGTATACAGGGTCCGGCAATTATACAGGATCCAGTAGGTATACAGGGTCCAGCAATTATACAGGGTCCAGTAGGTATACAGGGTCCAGTAGGTATACATGGTCCAGTACGTATACAGGGTTCAGTAGGTATACAGGGTCCAACAGGTGTACATGGCCCAGTAGGTATACATGGTGCAGCAGGTATACATGGTCCAGCAGGTATACAGGGTCCAGCAGGTATACAGGGTCCAGCAGGTATACAGGGTCCAGTACGTATACAGAGTCCAGTACGTATACAGGGTCCAACAGGTATACATGGCCGGCCAGTAGGTATACAGGGTCCAACAGGTATACATGGCCGGCCAGTAGGTATACAGGGTCCAGTAGGTATACAGCAGTCAGGAATGACTACAGACTAAGTTACAGTGCAGAAAACTCTTGAATGCAGCACTGTCTGCTGGACAAAGAAAGCAGACACTTCCTTCCTGGTGTCATCATGACTGTGTGTGATGCAAGTGCAACTGAGCTGCAGAAAGAGCTCCTGGCATGTGGAACCTAAACTAACAAGCCATCTCAACAGCCCCCCCCCCCCCCCATGCATGATCTTTTGTCATGTTTTCCAGAGGACAATGCATGACAAATGTCTTATCATGATTGTGACGGGGTGATAGAGAGGGTGAACACATTACATAATACACACTGAGTGCCTGATACTGGCAGTGCAAGAGGATACATGTAAGTGCATACGCCCGTCTGGTCTTCTCATGATGTTATAGTTCCATACGAGAGACGGACATGTGGAGTTGGAGGATGGACGAGCTGTTTGGTGTCTGTCACGCAGTGACTGCATGTGCAGTGTGCAGCATTGGTTCTTGCCTGTAACAAGCGTGTAGGATGTCACCGTCAACCATCGGTGTCTTGCTGCCGCATACGCTGCGCACAGAGCGGCAACCGCTGCTGCTGCTGCAACCGTGAATGGCAAAGGCCAGGGTAAGTACGAGAGCAGGCTGCAGTGCCAGTGCATTGGCACTGCTACTGGGGGACTGTGCCACAGTGTGTGTGCTGTGTGTGCTGTGTGTGTGTGTGCTGTGCATGTGTGTGCTGTGCGTGTTGTTCAGCACACAGGCATTACGTGATCACGTTTCACGCAGCACAGCACAAGCCTGTAGATGTAGATCCATAGTTCTGGTGCAATTAGCGATAACACACCTACACCAGGAACACATGGACATCATGTACAGAGCAGTAAAAGTACCTGAGCCTGAGGACAACTGAACTGGCTCTTTGTTGGAGGTCACTTTCTTTGCCACCTCTGGGTTGCTGACAGTTGCTGTCAACGTTGACAGAGAATTCTACCACAGGCCAGGCAATGCCTGTCATTCCTCCACATTCCAATGTGCCACCGAGTGCAGCAGGGCATCTTCATCAGCCATCTCAGCATCCCTACACACTGTGGTCTGCATGGCAACACATGAAAATGGGCGTCCAGATTTCCAGTTTGTCTTCTGTGGTATCACCAGTATGTCTATGGCACTAGTGTTCCCCTGCGTGCGGGCTGCCTGGAAAATCGAACATGGCTATTGGAACTGATGCTGAGCTTCAGCTCGATTTCGTTCGCACGTGCGTAGTGCTCAGTTCAGGTATGCAAGCTAGCGGACGAATACTGACCAGACCGGCCGCATTCAACCTTGCCATCTGCGCCAATAACGAATTTCTCCGGAAGAAATTTATTACACGCCCGACTCCGCACTTCCAGATACACGGTGCAAGTTATTGCCTGCCAACGTCGTTTGCAGCAAACGTGAAGACTCACCTCCAGAGCTTCCTGCAAAGACTTCGAGATCCAGCAGGAACACGACATCGGTTGTGAACGAGCTCCAGCGCGGTTGATATCCGTTCTGCAAAATAACTTGGGTGGAGCAAGAACTCCGAGAGATTGGAACTGTTTGCAGCAGAAACATTCCGGCAACAGCTGCTTTGTTTGGTGAACAGCTCAGTGGTCGCAGCGATGAGCCAAGAGCTGAACAAGATCGTCGGCTGAGAAAGCGTTGCAGAAGAAATGGCTGGCTGCGACCTTTGCGGGATGTCCGGGAGGAAGCAGCAGCCCATCCGCAACGCACCTGCACGGCAGGAGCGGCTCGACGAGGGAGCGACGAGGGAAATTGCGGATGAATCTAGGCATCGGCAATGGGAGCACTCGTTGTCCAGATTTGCCCATTGCAGCAGCGCAGCACCCTTGGCCTTGTCCGACGAGACATTGTCGATGTCCAGACACCACGACCATGCCGCTGCTGTCTTTGCTTGCACCTCGTTATATAAAAGAAACCGGGCAGCACGTGTGGAGACCACGACGAAAAACTCGTTCAGAATATCCTCCCCTGTTGGATGTAGCAGTGGTCTTCGCAAAGGTCTTCCGGAGACTGCAGAAGCGGCCGATTCTAATCTCGAAAGGACATGCTGCGTAGACCGACACTGTTGCAATACGAAGAAGAGCAGAGGCGACACAGCGGCAACACAAACTTCCGAAAACAGCGCGTGGAAGCGTCGACGGAGACGAACATTCGGATCAGTTCATTTGACACCGCTGCTTCTCCAAGTAGTTTGCGTCGTAATCTATTGCATCTCATGTATACCGGTAATGATTGTAGCAACGAGTGATACTGCCATGGCGACTGGCTTGGCTGCAGGTGGAATCGTGGATGTGGAGGCAACTGTGGGCCAGGCGTTCAGCCTTTCAATACCTCAAAGCTGGACGGATTCAGAACTCAAGGTACAGTATGACACTCAGTGATAGCCCAGTATGCCGGATAACCTAAGCAACTACAAGTAGAGTTATGTGATACTGTATACTGCTCTGCATGTCACACCTTCCAATAGGCAATACTCCCGCACGCATACACACCGTGATACATGCCAGGACTAGGCAGATGTGGGCAATGAATACCATTGGATTTCAAAGATAAACATTGGTACTTTACGCAACCAGCTTGGCGGCAGAAACAAACTGCAAGGACCACAGGCTTCAAGAACACAACATGGTCAGCAATCACATTTCAGTGTCCATGGTATTGAAGCGCATACAGTAGCTGACAGTAACCATTAAACTGGGTACTTGCCGAGTGGTCTCAATGACAATGAGACGGTTCAGACAGCACAGGCAGGCACTGAGGTCAGGTTCTTGCACGAGTAAGGCTGCCTGTGTACAGGTACGGTGTACTGTACTACATCTCATTGTACACGATGATCCGGAAATGTCCTTAGCCAGCAGCCACGAGCCATGGAGCATGTGTTTTCATGATTGAAAAAGATGCTAAGTACACCACAGTTAATGTGTTTCTTGTCCGCTGTGTGCAAGTACAAGTATTAGTCGCGGAGGATAGAGTAGGGGCTACACTATTACAATAATATATATAAATAGCTTATTGTAATACCATGTCCATGTGTGTGTGTGTGTGTGTGTGTGTGTGTGTGTGTGTGTGTGTGTGTGTGTGTGTGTGTGTGTGTGTGTGTGTGTGTGTGTGTGTGTGTGTGTGTGTGTGTGTGTGTGTGTGTGTGTGTGCGTGTGTGACTTGTTCTTGCTGTGCAGGTGAACGAGGCTGGTGAAGCTCACCTACCACACTGGCTACACTACAAGAACGACAGCCACACACTAGTGGGAGTAGCAGGCGCACACGATACCGGCCAAATGTACATACGAGTGACGGAAGAAAGAGCCGGGCGGACAAGTCACGACGACGTCTTTAAAATTGACGTCGACCACGAGACGCACGGCAAAGAGGTAGCAATGTGGAGACTGGATGCCGGCTACGATGCAATACGACAGCCGTGGCTATTCGCAGAGCTACCCAAGATGACCGAGATCAACAAGGTCGCGTCAGAAGAGTGCAGTCCGCACGAGAACGTGGTGACAATGTCGCTAACATCGCCGCATCAGCTAGACAAACTGAGCGGACACGAGCGCTTTGCCATCATCTCGGCGGCAGCACGGCACCTGAACACAAGCCACAGCCACTTGAGACTGTCAACGCTCCGTGACCAACAACAACGCCATTTAGTTCAACTACTGGCAGCTGGGGCCGGTAGCAGCACAGCCAGCAGCAGCGATGGTGAAGACAGTGGGAAACTGCAGCTGTGGTGGAACCTGGCGTGTGGAAGCTACAGTCCTATGATCTCGTCGGCATCCCCTGTGTCCAAGGCAATCGAAACCGTGGAGCAGTCGGCGCTGGATGGGTCACTGTCCGCAGCACTCGGCATCCCCATCTCATCATGGGAGCTGGTGCATCGTCGACAGCGCCGGCAAGTGTTGTCTGGACCATTCCAGTCTGGCGGCATGGCAAGCCTGTACATGATGAGCTCTACACCCGTACCAACGCCCACCGTGTCACTGTTCCTACCCACAGCAGTAGCAACCATTATCACCACACTGTTAGGTAGTGACCTAGCAGCCAGCAGCAGTGACCAGGCATCATCTTTCCTTACCGATAGCCAGACGCCCGACATCACCAGCACTGACTTTGACTTTATCTTCAGCACGGATGTAACAACAGCGCTGTCCTCACCAACGCCAAGCAGTTCTCAGCCAGTGCCTGGCGTCTCGTCGCTCGTGTTAACCATGTCACCGTCACCCATCACGGAAACACCGCCGGTGCTCCAAACAAGTGTAGAGCCAACACTGGTGCTGACCACTGCAGTATTGCCCTCATCACCTGCCATCGTCACTAGCAGCAGTCAATTCCTTCCCATCAGCAGCAGCAGTAGCAGTGTACAATTATCTTCTCCTGTCATCATTAGCAGCAGCAGCAGCAGCAGCAGCAGCAGTGTAGATACCGGATCAGGGTCAGGGTCTGGTGATGGCAGTGGTGACTCACAGACAACACAGCCACCTCCGCTGTCAACCAGCACAATGCAACCTACACCGGTGATACCGTCGCTGAGTAGTGCTGGACCACCTGCTCTGACCAGCGCGCTCCTGTCTACACCCATGTCTATGTCCAGCAGTGATGTCATGGTGTCCAGCAGTGATGTCATGGTGTCGACAAGTACGACATCGCCAATACAAGAGACTCCGGTCTTTACCTCCAGCATCCAGCAACCATCTGCATCCCCGACACCAGAACTACCATCACCAGTATCCACACCACTGCAGTTCAGCACTCCCGAGCCCGTGCTGTCATCAAGCTTGCCAGTCCCTCTAAGCTCCACAAGCAGCGCAGAGCCACCGGCAACGAGTGTCATGGGCAGTGGCAGTGGCAGTGGCGATGTGTCAGATACATCTCTGCTGGTCATGAGCAGCCAGGCAATGTCAATAGTTACATCAGAAGCACCCATGCCTACAGTCATGATAACACCAACATCAACCACAAGAGCATCTTCAACGCCGGTACTTCTACCCAGCAGCAGCAGCAGCAGCAGCAGCAGTGTACTACCAGTGTACTCCACAACCATTGGTAGTGGTAGCGGAAGTGGCGAAGTGTCCGATACTCCTGTGCTAACATCAGTATTGCCGCCCACCAGCACCGTCACTAGCAGCAGCAGCATCATAGTCACAAGCAGCATTAGCAGTAGCAGCAGCACATTACCACTTCTCTCCACAGTTATCGGCAGTGGCAGTGGTAGTGGCAGTGGGGAGGTGTCCGATACACCCTCACCACCAATACTGTCATCCATGTCACCACTTCCCACACTGACTAGCAGCAGCCTGAGCACAACAGCGGCTATAGCAACATCTTCAATGGTAGTCACTACATCTGCACCACCTACATTCCAGCCCACAACCATCAGTCCAACTACCATTGCTACCACACAACCAACGTCACCGGTAACATCACCAGCAGAAACAACAGTACCACCCACTGAGGACTTCCCACTAAGGTTGCGCGGAGACATAGCCGATACTCATCTGCAAGCGGCAGGCCAGTACTTGCAACTGCCGATCGCACAAGATCATTTCGATGACGGGATCAACTGCACTCTCGACGAAATCTGCTGCCCAACCTGCCGCCTCAGCCTTGGTCTGGAACGCCTGGATGCTCCACTGGGTGCAAGCGATGCGTACATTAATCTCATCGGTTCAACAGGTCGCGCTCATTCTATCGTGCTGTACGTCCAGTTTGAGAGCACAATGCCAGCATTCAACCGCTCCTATGCCCTGACTGCCACCTCCGACGGCCGAAACAAAGTCTACGATAACTTCACCGTGTACTACGCTGGACCACAGGGAACCAACGAGCTCGCCAACTCGATGCTGCGTGAAAACTCCTTCTCGGTCAAGCTCAATGACAGCTATACAGAGTTCGTAGACAGTGCCCAGAAGCAAATCGATTTCATGTCGACATTCATCGCAAGAACAGGCACAAGCAGAGTTTCTTTCATTACTATCAATCCAGGAAGTGTGCTACTAGAACTCTACATTGGACAGATCGGCTGTGACCGAGAAACAGTGGCCAACATCGACGCTGAACTTCGCACCTACGATGACTACCTGGATGTTAATGTGGCCTTGAATGAACTAGCTTGTCCCGTGACACCAACCCCACCTGCCGAGACCACACCTGCCGAGACCACACCTGCCGAGACCACACCTGCCGAGACCACACCTGCCGAGACCACACCGATTACACATGCCGAGACCACACCTGTTGAGACCACACCTGTTGAAACCACAATCGCTGAGACTACACAAGCAACCACACGTGCTGTGACCAGGCCTCCCACTGACCTTCCTCTAGGGGTCCGCGGAGACATTGTCGACACAACGTTGGTGTCTGCAGGAGAGTATGCACAGCTGGAAATCACATCAGACCATTTCCAGGGCGGCATTGCTGACCTACGTCTGGGCCTGGAACCTCTGGACGGTCCGACCAGCGATGGCTTCTTCATCAATCTGGCAGACGTCCCTGGGCAGAGAAGTTACATTGAAATATACATCCCCTTCCAAAGTAAAATCACAGGGGCGTTCAACCGGTCGTACGCCCTAACTGCCAGTGATGGCCAGAGTAAGGTCTATGATTACTTCACTGTATATTACGATGGACCAGTTACAAGTGAGATGTTTGCAAACTCAACGATGCGTGAGAACAACGTGTCCCTCACGCTCAACGAAACCTACAAAGACTTTGTAGAAAGTCCCGAGCGGCAACTCAACTTCACACGGACTTTCCTCGACAGGACGTCCGTTTCAAGCGTGGCAATCATAGAGATCCGCCCGGGAAGCGTGCAACTAGAACTCTACGTAGAGCACATTGGTTGTAACCGCAGCACAGCAATCTACATTGAAAGTGCCCTGAACGAGTACAGGGAGGAGTACCTAGATATCAGCGTGCAGGTGAACGATGTAGCGTGTAACCTCACAACACCATCACCACCACCACCACCACCCACAACCAGTGCTCCAGTGTCATCATCCGCGTTGCCTGCATCGTCTACCCAGCTTCCACAGAGCACGCCAGCCAGTACAGCAGCAGCAACAACAACACCAGCAGTGCCAGTCACATCCGTGCTCCCCAGCACAACACTGCCGCAGGCCACGCCAGATATCATGACATCGTCACTGGCGGCATTGCCAACCGATGCGCTGTTCACCAGCGCTCTCTTCCCATCATCCGCAACCCAGCTACCCACATCCTACTTGTCACTGATCCCATCCGTTTCCTTGGCAGATGCCAGCAGCATGATGCTTGAAACCCCAACAGTAAGCAGCGTTACATCAGCTGATGTACAAGGAACGCGGACGACAGCGCTGGCTCCGCCATCATCAGTGATTACAGGAACAGCCACAACCACCATCATGGCACCGTCCTCAATAAGCATGGTCACCGTAACCGTAGCCAGTAGTGCAAGAACAGTCAGTGGCACACCAACAACAACTCTAGCTCTACCCACAAGCGTGTACACAACATCAGCGGTGTTTGAAAGCATTCCTCCTACAGGAGTGATCACAACAGATGTACTTCTATCTACATCCGTGCCGACGGCAATTCCAACGCCCGTTGTTCCAACATCTGCTTTCCAAACACCTACCTTACCGAGCACAGTGGTATCATCATCTCTCCCACTGGAGGAACCATCATCATCTCCCCCGCTGGAAGAACCATCATCATCTCCAGTGCTCTCGTCTAGCGAGTCAACATCCAGCCCAGCGCTTACAACTTTCATCTCGGACATCTTTACCTCGGTATCATCTGACCTCTCCACTTTGGAGAGCAGCAGTGACTTCATGACGACCGTGCTGCCACCGGAGATGTCCACAACAAGCTTTTCAACAACATTATTCGACCTCGTGCCACCGACAACTATACCGTCAGGAGAAAGTTCGGCAACGACGGTCAGTGCATACAGTGCTATGGACACCAGCTCCTTTCTGGCAACAAGCGGTGTTCAATCACCAGCTATCACATCAGACACACCGTCAACATCAATTGAACGCTCAACAATCACAACACTTAGTAGTCCCAGCACTGCTCTCGTATTCACCACTGATTTCCCATTCTCAGAGCTTCCCGGTACAAGTATCAGCAGTGTCTTCTCATCCGAACAGATGTCGATTTCCAGTGACTTGTTGTTCACAACGGATTTCAGCATTGAAACAAGTGCTCTATTTCCAACGGCACCTCCCGAGAGCACATCAGTGGTAGAGCTGACAACAGATATCTTCCTGGCTCCCAGCTCCACCCTGCCAGCCCCGTCGTCGTCGTCAATCTCGGCTCCAACATTGTCGCTGAGCACGGCAATCACCAGCAGCGCCAGTACGACCAGCACAGTCAGCGTGGCCAGCAGCAGTACTAGCATACCGTACTCCTCGCTGGTCACACCAAGTCCAAGCAGTGATGTAGATGTGAGCATGCCACAGTCCACCAGTGCACTGCATGCTGCCAGTACTGTCAGCACCACAGTGCAGCAAACTGACGTGCAGCAGCAATCACCCACTACAAGCTCTGCCATTGCCAGCAGCATTGTGGACACGTCACCAGCAATGGCATCTCTGCCGGTCACAACTGCTCCTGGTACACCAGCAGAGTTCCCCACCAGTGTATCAAGCATTGTCCTGCCATCAGTAATGACCACTAGTCTTGTTCCATCATTTGTGATCTCATCTACAACTGACCCCAGCTCTGTGCTAAGCAGTAGCAGTAGCAGCACTACACCAGCAATATCCATCAGCTCAGAGATAGGACTTCCACAAGCAAGCAGCACAACTGAGGCTATTGCATTCACCAGTGTCATCACCGACCAAACAACAACCATACTGGATACAGTAGCTGTCAGCAGCCAACTTCAAACAGTATCGACTGCAACCACGGCAGTGACCACCAGCTTCCTGCAACTGCCAGACCAGACATCTGCTGTCTCAGCTCTGCCGCTAGAAACAACAACAACAACATTCATACCACCGACACCAGTGTTGAGCAGTACATTCCTGGAGTCCAGCATCACATCAGACCTGCCCTCTGCTTCAACACTCCTTCCTGTAACAGTGAGCTCGGGCATCCCGGTCATCACCACAGCAGAGGAGGTCTTTGATTCTACTCCCGTGTCGTCAACAGACATTATCGAAGTCCCCGCCACCAGCATTGCTCAGCCACAGACAACTCAATTCACACAGCTACCAGACGTAACACCAACGAGCAGCGTCTTTCCGACAACAGGCACCCCCTTTACCAGCACAGCAGCAGCCGTTCCATCCACACCTACTGCCCAACAGAGCACTGGTGTATCACCATCACCCAGTGCAGCCAGTACATCTGTGTTGCAAGCAGACACCAGCAGTAGTATGGTTGCTACATCAACTACACTGGTGGACTTGACAAGCCCGAGCCTTCCAACGAGTAGCGTGTCATCGTCAGTTCAGTCAAGTACACCACTGCTGGCAAGCTCTATTGTATACACACTGCTTCCAACAAGCTCCACGCCCGGTGTGGACGGTCCAGGCTCTAGCTCAGGATCCAGTACGATAGAAGATGTCACGAGCTTAGTGACTAGCATAGACATAACGCCATCAGCAATGCTCACATCAATACTGAGCACAGCCGCAGGAACACCGGTGCCAACGTCAAGTACAGCCGTGCTGTCAGCACCGATAGCTAGCACTGAACGTGTGTCGTCAGTTCTGATAGCGACAACACCGACAGCACTGTTAGTGCAGCCCAGCAGCATGGCACCATCCTCTGTGTTTACAACCGTTCTCATCGAGTCTAGCGCGACAGGCCCCTCATCTACAATGTCGATCACCTCTACGTCCATTGCAAGCACGAGCACACTTCCACAAACCAGTCCAAGCCCTACACCAGTCGTTACCACCACATCGCCATCTGACAGCCAGGGCCCTATTCCCAACGACAATCTTCCCGTGTCCTTGTTTGTACTGATGGTTGGTCAGTATCTGGAGTATGAGCTCAGTCCCACGCACTTTCTTGACGCGCAAACGGAGAACGACTCCTGCCCGACATGCACGCTGGATGTAAGACTACTGACATTCGACTTGACCGAAGTTCCCAGCAATCAGGGACCTGTACGTCTTACAACAATAACACACTCCGATGGAAGTCAACGAAGATTGCTCCAAATGTACGCATTGCCAAGCCACCTGTCATTGACTGGAGACTCTTTCTCATTCTTCCTTGAAGCAACTGATAGCGCTGGAAATAGCCAGCAGGAATTCTTCGAGGTGCTGGTGGTGGCAAATGACTCGCCTTTCTTGCAGAACACAATAGATGTGGTCATCCAGGAAAATTTTGCGGCATTCAACAGCTCGTGGAGCAGGCAAATACAGTTCATGCAGAGTTTGTATCAGCCTCTGCAAATCGCAACCGCACGGCTTGCGATGACGTTTCCCATTCGGCCGGGCAGTGTTGTAGCGCGTGTGACTGACCTGGAACCGTACAGTTGCAGCAATGTGGAGCAGCGACGGGCAGTGTACAACAGCCGTACTGTGCTGCACGCCATTGGGATCAACGCCACTGTCAACGTCAACTGTCAGGAGGACGAAGTTGACACCGGCGTGTCTGTCAACGTGGAGGAGGTCAAGACACAGACCAACAAGACGAACAGTCTGAACATCATCGTGCCAATCAGCGCCGTTCTCGGTGTGTTGCTTGCCGCCAGTTTGGTTGCCGTCGTTTACTATCGACACAAGAGACCCGAACGAAAGCACCTCGTCGGCAGGCGGCATAGGAGAACGTTTGCTCGGCGCAATCCCATTCTTCTGACGGACGAGAGAGACACGCTGGCGAAGCGTGGACGGCGGCCGACAGTACTGCAACGGGAAAGCCAGGCGCCCATTGGTCAGCGCACAACGAGCATACGACTAGCAGAAGCAATGCTGGAAGCTGGCGAAATGAGAACTCTGATGGATGACATGAGCAGAGAAGCGGGCGAATGTCCGGACTACAATCCACCGCCGGCCTTCCACCTTGTGCAGCAGCAGAAATACAAGAGACAGCCACCACCAGCATACCAAATGCCACCGGTGTATTCAATCACTTGATTTGTTTTGACCTTGCTCGCAGTAGAATATCGATAGATGCTGAACAATAGTACCGTTGTCATTAGGGCGTGCACACCAGCGGTCTGGTCACATTCCTAGTACAGTGTACACACAATAATCAGGATAATTGTACTGATGATGACTTGAGACTATTTCCCTTCACTTTCATCAAACAAACCTCATCCGAACTATCTCCAAACCATCCTTGTTTTAATGCTAGCCAGCACATTTGGCGGCTAGCATTCTCCCTACGCATTCAACTTGAGCAGCATTCGGAATTGAATTATTTTTCTTTCCTACTGATCAAACCCTATTGAGCAAGTTACTCTATTCCTAATTACATTTTCTGTCTGAAAGCTAATTGTGACAATTACCGTGACTAGTCCGAGTGTGAGCCGGGCTGATGGTTGTGAAGCTGGCAGGCTGGTTTGTGGATGTAAAGCATCACAAACCTCTTTCCACGCTGTTGTAATCGCACTGGGAATGGTACATGTACGTGACATGGCACATTGTGATACAGGACCAGGTGAAATCTGAGCCACAGTACACAGTTGATGCCCTAGACTTGCACACCCCCTGGCGCCCTGGCCTTGCACACCCCCTGATACCCGGGACTTGCACCCCCCCCCCCCCCCCTGACACCCGGGAAGTCGTAAGAATGCTGCTGGCCGTACACATACACCAGTACAGTGATGTAATCGGAACTGGTTCAGGGTGCTATATTTGAACTTTGAGGTCCGATTCCCCCCCCCCCCCCCCCAGCACACCTATACATGCCACATCATCATGCCTGCTAACTGAGTTCTTCAATATCACAAGCATTGCATTGTACTTAATATACCGTTCAGTAATAACTGCAGCTAGTGACATCAGACTGAGAGCTACACCCTACAGGCTGTAGCCCTATCTATTTGTTAGACCACCATGCAGCTATCGTATACCACAGCGCTGTGCGGCTACACATCGCGTCCAATCAGGATTCGCAGCGTCAATGTTCGTGTAGCCTACAACCCCCCTGGCCAGATTGTAGTCTTGGCAATCGCATGCTGTATGCTCTGAACGAACAAGCTACCGTATTTTCCGGAGTATAAGCCGCACTTTACACACCAATATTTTGACCTTTGATAAATACCCACACTCATTAGTGACCACACCATCAACAGTACAAGTATCTGCTGCACCTGAACTGGCAAGCAGCCACCGACGCCCTATGAAACGGTTTAGACCAGTGCCTCACTAGCATCCTCCCCCCTCCCCCCCCCCCCCCCCATGCCACAATGTGACGTTATCTTTCACTCTGCTTCTCTCACGACCATCTACCCATTGTCCTCGTTTCTCACTATTATTCATTTCCCCTCTTCCTCCCCTCGTCATGGTTTTACTGCATTATGGCGCGCTTTGTCTGCGTAGACGCCGAGACCTTTGAGGTCGGCAGAGCAGCCTGGCCCCGCCACCACTTCTCGCACATATTCGGGAATATAGTGGACTTTCGTATAAAAACGAGAGAGCTTGGAAGCTCAGGGCCCTACGCTATGCTTTTTTGCCTTGATGACCTAGACAAAAAAAGCATAGGGATGTTATAAATTCTTTAAAAAATTCCTTTTTTTAAGACATAACCTGGGATTCGAACCCGCACTATCGCGCCCTGCATGCATCCCCCGATATACTTCGCATACATACTAATTCTTCCAAGTTGCTTCACATTATGATCTTGCATTTGAAAGCCCTATGTGAATATGCATTGTGGCCAGCCGTCTTTGATGGTACGGTACGGTAGGGATAGGTACGGGACAGGTACGATCGAGGGTAATACGACACCGTCTCCCGTACTGTACCATCAAACACAGCTGGCCACATACAGCTGCCCGCAATATTCAAATAGGGCTTTCAAACGCAAGATCATAACGTGAAGCAACTTGGAAGAATGGGTATGAATGCGAAGTGTATGGGGGAATGCATGTAGGGCGATAGTGGGGGTTTGAATCCCAGGATATGCCTGAAAAAAAAATAGCAGAATTGAAAAATTTATAACATCCCTATGATTTTTTTGCCGTCAGATACGGGATGGCGCCAGGCGTGACACAAACAAACAAACACACAAACAAATACCAAATTAAAGCTGTGTGGACCCTGGCTAGCGCCAGACGTTACTGAAGTAACGTCTTCTGCATAGCTACGGGAATCAAATTCAAATAAATTTGCTTTGACTCAATAAATACCACTGCACTTTTCTATGTAGCACTGCACTTTTCCCTAAAAAGGAGTATTTTTAACTATTTTATAAACAGTATTTTATTGGCTTTTGAGCCAATAAATACTGTTTACAAAATACCACTATTAAAGGCCAATAAATACTGTTTATAAAATACTCCTTTTTAGGGAAAATGAAGGTCAACATATGTATAATAAATGTAGTAGCCTCAGGATTTATTGCAATTACATACCAGTTATAAAAACCTCGAGGGACCTCGGTTTTTATACCGGTATGTAATTGCAATAAATCCTTCCGCTCTACATTTACTATATACGTAATTCACCCAAAAAGGTTGGCGCCAAAAAAAGTCGGTGCGGCTTCTACTACGATGGTCAAATTAACGGTGGTAAATGGACTCATTTCGTGACAAAAAATCCGGGTGTGGCTTATACTCCGGAAAAGATGGCAACATTGTGTCCGAATACCAATAACTTACCCAGGAGCGGCTCCCGGTTCAAAATGCGATGGAGATATTCACTACCGTAGCCAACCTAACCAGGTCAGTGTGTGTCGTGGATACGAACAGGGAGAGAAGATATGAAACAGAACAACAAGATGCACACACACACACACACACTTGTGCCTGTACTTGCTCACTGCCAGAAATTGGTCACATTTTTTTGATTGATTGATTGATTTTTATTTCACGGATCCTCTTGAGGCAAATAGATGCCAATCGAAGGGAGTCTCCTAATTAAGTATGGAAAATGAGAAAGTCTGTTCGCAGGGGAGAAGAGGTAGAAGATACATTAGAATATAGAGTACAAAAGAAGACATGGGTCTTCTTGGGAGAAAGAAGAGAGATTCAAAAGGAATCCTGGAAAGACTTTATTGGCTATTGAACTGCCCAATGCCCCACCCCAAGAAAACCCCTCCAGACTCCGGGGACTTGGAATTGAAGTTGGAGATGATCCTGCTTATGGGTTCACCACACGAGGACAAGGTGTAGAAAAAGAATTGATGGCATCAATGTATCCATTCCGGGATCCAATTGCATTTACCCCGTGCCCCCCCCCCCGGAAGGTAAAACTTGATTTTACAGTAGACGCCAAAGCTTGTGCTGGGATTGCACTACTCAACAGCTTGCAAGGCTAAAGAAGTACAATGCAAACTCACGAAATACAATTCTGACATGTCCCAGGACTGTAGTCACGGAATTGACCAATCTCATTGCACCTAGCAGGGCGTTCATAAGGCGATCAAGGCATGCTAGACTTTTAATACTCGCTCAGCTGGGTTGATTATGCAATTAAGCCCGACCAGGAGGGCTTTGATTTTCCGATCAAGCTCACTTTTCTTTTAGGCGCGAAGGTTGAATCCTGCTACTTGTACATGATAGTGCTCTGCAAGCTTGGAGGTAAGATGTAAGTGTATTCGCCTGGCGAGAGGAAATGTCACGTGTTGTGCCTCCTTTTGATATGGACATCAGGGATGACCAAAGGCAGAGGGTCGCGATGGAGTCCCTTGCCAAGAGAAACCGCTTTGGTTCCGGAACTATGGATGGTGTGCAAAGCCTGATTGATACGAGAACTCCGGGTAGCACAAAGAGAACTACCGAGACATGGCTGAAAGTGTTCTACGACTTCTGTTCCAGTAGGAACCTTACCATCGACCTAAGCGTGGATCAACCACAGAAGGTCTGCGAGGCATTGGCACTGTGGTATGTCAATACGAGAGGTCGAGAGGGTCAGCCATATCAAAGACCGAGCCTGCAAGGTATGCGTGCAGCATTGGAGCGAGAAATTTGTTCCATTCGTCCATGGAACATTATCAGCGACAAGGAGTTCAAGGTTACTGATGAAGGAGACAACCTCACCAGTGAATAGGACGGAAAGTGCGTACTTTGCAATAAACTACCATTTCACGCTGCGTGGATGTGAAAATCAAGAGCCCCCTGGGAAGCAGGATCTTTTGTTAAAGGTCGCTGACGATGGCACTGAGTTCATTGAGCTAGCACCAAGGTGGTGGCAGCAGAGAAAAGGTGAGCGATGGAAGAATCCAACAAGCAGCGCAGGTCACAGCCGTCAAGAAACTCCGTCAAAAAACTGCTAGAGAAGATCCGCCCCCAGTGCGATCGGATCTTCAAGATGGCATGCCAAGGTAAACGAGCGTAAGACGTCAACGGTGCCTGGTACAACGGTCTCCCCCCCCCCCCCCCCCCCCGGGCCGGAACACAATTAAAGAAATGATGAAGCTGATTGGCTCCAAAGCTAACTTGTCGAAGACATATACAAACCACTGTGTCAGAGCAACAGCGATTCAGTGTTTGGTTGATGCGTGTGTTCCGGAGACGGCAATAATGTGGACAACAGGGTACACACTAGTCCAGTACCTGACTGCTTATGCCACCCGGAATTCAGATGCAAGGAGAGGTGACATCGCATCCATTCTGGATATGGAGCCGTCGAAAGAACAGCGCACTTGAGTCCGCCAGCCCCCTTCACGACGTGCTGCATTGCCAGCTACGGAGCGGCAACCTGCAGAAAGACGGGCTGTCCAGAGACAGAATGCGCATGAAGATGCTGACATCGACGACTTTGTCTCTTCGTACGACATCGGCAGTTTGTGCTCAAACTAGCCACCTGATGACAGGCGAATGCAAATGATAAAGGTCATCAATTTGTCAGGAGCGACTTTCGGTGACAGCTGCACCATCAATCTCCAGTTCCACAAGGACGTACTTCGAAGTACGCACGCAAAGTACACTGAACCTGGGAGACGTATACAGCTCCCTAAAATACTGTATAAGCAGAAATATTCGTCTGGAATTTAATTTCGTCTTTTTCGTCCAAGGAGCTTTTGGACTAAATTAAATGTAGGACGAATATCGATTTGCCCAGCTTTTCTATACACTCTTATGATCCGTGGACGAAATTTTCAACCGGACGAACTCCTTTTCTTTGGAGTTGGACGAAATTATTGACCGACGAAATTTTCTGCCTCTACAGTAGAGGTGCCTATATTAAACTCTACCGTACTCTACCGTACTGCTGCTACGCATGTCAGAAAAGTGATCCAAATACCCATACCAGGGCTGCCACTTGTTCTGATTTTTCTGAAACGCTCAGATGTTTACAGGCTGTTCTGACAAACTGACCGAAAAGAAGCTTCACTATCCTACTTTGATTGTTCACAAAAGTGCCCACACCTGATGTAGAGGGCCCTTGAAATCCTTAACATGCTCTGACTTTTAATTAAAAGGGATGTTTCCCTGTCACCTCCCAGGGGTACCGTCCCCATAACCCCCAGCCGGGGGTTGCACCCCCCCCCCTCCCCTTCAGATTTCTACCAACAGAAAAGTGGCAGCCCTGCCAAACTCTTGTTCAATCAGCCTCATCACCGGCCTTCGTGCTTAACGTGGCGGGTTGTGATCGGGCATCTCACATTCTTTTCTATTTTTCTTTTTTCCTTTGTTCCCCCCCCCCCCCCACACACACACACGAAAGAACAACACAGGTGTCCTCTGACAGGACAGTGCTTACCGTCACTAAAACGATGGGACACAGGATGGCGTACCAAAGTCGGTGCGTGCGAAAGCCTAGCCACTCATACAGTGGCATAGCCTACAGCAGTAAATAGGAAACAGAGCATAAACTTACTGCATCTTCCTCACTACAACGACACAATAGAAATAAGCACATCTGGCTCAAACAAACTTCCGATCATGCCTTGACACAGCGAAACCAAACGAATGACCTGATGAAGACCCTTGTTAGGGGCCATCCGGCATTATCGTTAATTTTCACGGAACGAAAAAGTTTAGTTCTGACCGTCCCCCCCCCCCCCCTCCCGAACGAAAAAATATATTGATTTGACAGTTGGAATGGACTGATGCTTCAGTTGTCAATATTATCATAGCGAAACTCTCCTTGACCTACCCACCCATAAATGAAACTTTTCCGTTGCGTGTAAAAGATCAATACCAGTGATTATGGACTGCGCCTGAAGCACTTGGTTCAGTAAAGCTGTGAGCGTATGTGCCTCACCTTGTCGGTTGTGTCCCGAGATGACAGAAGGGTTAGGACGATGATAGAGACTACTGGCATGACAACCACAGCAACGATCATGCGCCGGACCATGGTCTCCGGGTGGTCTCTGTGCAGGACAGGATCGACAAAACAGCACAAAAATTATCACTTTGCAAATATCATTTTACGGAGCAAAGACGTGGGCCGTGAAATCTTGCCACCGGCACTGTCGAAATGGATTCCACTGACCCTGCCTGTGTGCAACACTGGGTGTGTCCTGAATATCTCAGCGCGCAGACGACCCCACCAGCAGCGAACATCAAATGTGTTGCTCACAAACACTTTCTTTACTGGATTGGACATGTTGGCGGTACGATCCGAGAGTGGACGTCGCAGTGAGTCCTTTTCGGTGAGATACTGCCGGTTCTAGAAGGTTGTGGACGCAGACAGCACTGGTGGGATTGTTGATGACACACATGGAGTGAACATTCTGGAAAGGAAAAGTTTACCTACACTTGTGAACCTGCTTGTGAACCTGATGAAGGCAATTTGCCAAAACGTTGTAATATTGTGAAATGAGTTGAATCACTGCAGTGTTAATGGAAGAGAGCGTGTGGGCTCTACTCTTAAACTGTTTATGAAATTGCAGGAAGCCTCCCCACTTTTACTTAGAAATGTTTACCTGGTGCAAGATTGACCAGACTGGCAATGGCACATCACCAGCGAGCGGCTTCCTCCTCCTACCCCCCCCCCCCCCCCCTCCCCATCTATCAAGCCCGTCATTTATTTTATCAATCCCTTCCACTGTGCACAGCATGACGTGCTCACTACACAGATCATCAGCGCAAAGAAGTGGCGATCTCAAGCGCCGGCAGCATTTATGCTCTACATAATTATAGTACTGTACTTGCAAATACAGCATATGAATTGTAACCCCAGACCCTCTAGGTCCCGAATAAATAAGGCAGAACATGCCATGAAAGCTTCTCCAGCATTGGCTCATGACAGCTCGCGAGCGTTTACATGATCCTGTGATAGGCCAGCAATGCCGTCGCAGTCATGAAAAGCTTTTGTGGCTTTGGAAGAAGGTTTGCTATAATGACTCTGCCCAGCACACAGTTCAGAATGCCAGAAGAACTGTGCATACACACCGGGGGAGAGTGCAAGCAAAATAACCTCGAAAATAAGTCTCGAATTTGACGGTTTTGGTCACTTTGGTGTGAATGCAAGCTCTGACTGGCATTATATTTCGCTGGCAATATGCATAAATGGAGCTTTGGGGGCCATCCATAATTGTCACCATTTATCACGACCGTACAAAACGGATGGCTGTGTGTGTGTGTGTGTGTACATCTATTTGTACACTCACAGGACAAAACCGCCATTTATTCCCGAAGCTATGCAAAAGATGTTACTGTCTTCAGTAGTGTCTGGCACTAGCCAGGGTCTACACCGCTTTATTTCATATCTGTGCGTGTGTGTGTGTGTACATGGTGTGTCCCATATGGTGCAGTGGTATGTGCAGTCGATTTCCAATCGAGAGGTTGCGGGTTCAATTCCCGACGATTATGGTCGCACACGTCTTTCTTCTCTTTCTCGGACTCTTCCTGACTTTTCTTTCATTCTCCTGGGTGGTTACCAACAGCCAGTGTATGCCGGAGTATGTGGTGTGGTGTGTGTGTAGGGAAAAAAAATGGAACAATGAAAAATAGGGATTCACTGGCCAGAAAAAGTCACTTCAAACAGCTGTGTGCTGGATACCAGGCTAAAAATAGTGGCGGTCAATTCATCAGCCTTGCAAGCTGTTGAATGGTGTAATCCCAGCACAAGTTGCTATGTCTAACATAGCTGTTGCTATCATCGCTTCCGCGATGGGCATGTCTGAGGTGTGAGTGTGTGTGTGCGTGTTTGTGTGTGTGCGTGTTTGTTACTGGCGTCGGGCATGCCTGGCGCTATCCCGTACATGTCCCGTACCGTACCTGTGACATATTCCACCAGCATTGAGTTAGCACTTACACTCACACTTCCATTCACACCTTATTCCCACACTTACATCATCTACACTTGCATTGTGTTACTTATCACCTATGTTCTCCCCCTATATATACCATGCTATCTACTCCCATTGAGTATCTATTCCTCAGCTCAAGAAGTTGTTACATCAAAGACAGCTGGCCACCATATTCAAATAGGGCTTTCAACTGCAGCATCATAGCGGGAAGCAATTACAACACACATGACGACCTCGTACATATGGACATCATAATGACTTCACTACGTGTGTACAGTTTGGAGAGAAGGGTTCAGAAAGGCTAGATTTAAACAAATTGTCCGGTTGTGATAAACGGAGGCAATGCCCATTTCGTAAAATCTGATTTTCAAAATTCACCGAAAATATTTACGAAAATAGATCCATAAGAAATGTCTGGTTCACAGTACTCAGATGATGTGTCCTAATGTGTGCACTGGGAGTTCATAATAGCAAGAGTCCATAATCCCCCATATATTGTGGACTCTTGATAATATTAATAGTGTTCATCTGAATGGAAAAATTATTTATTGATTTGGAGCCCATGGTTCAGCTACGAAAAAGAGAATACAGAACGAATTTCTGAATCATACCTTGCTTTCCTTGAGACCGCATTTAGCAGGATAACAAAGAGCGTGGACAGCCCCAGGCAGGTAAGCAATGCCACAGACGCAGATACATCTGCAAAGCCCACTGGCTCAATGAACTGCTCTAAAACACCCATATCGCAAAATGGGCTCATCCGATTACAACGTTCAGGGACACTATCACCTCCTTCTGCCTGTAGCTACCTCACCATTCGTTCATAGTATAATTATTTCGAGTGTAATGTGGCCTACATACAAGTAGTGTATTGCACATGAGCCTGTGACATGATTGATTGAAAAAGAAGGGAGACGAGAGAAATATTTTCGAATTTTCGTGCTCGTTTGCCGGTTTGGTCATTCGGCTTTCTCGGAGAGCGTCGTCATCCTTTTCCTGACATTGTTTCACACGTGTTGCGTGACGTAGACGTCAATGTGCAGTCGAGTCTAGACGTCTGTGCACAGACTACACATGTACAGTCCATTTCAAAACTATAGACGCGTAGATCTACCTACAGTGTAGGCAAAAACCGTTATGCCAGCATCTATACCACATAAAATCTGTGATCACTTTGTGCAGACAGTCAGTGTGCAGAATGCAGATGTGCAGTAGCTCGAGCCAAGCTGTGCAGATGTGCTGACAGCTGCTGTAGCCTAGTGTAGGCTAGTGTAGGCTAGTGTAGGCTAGTGAGTAGTGTAGCGATGACTGTGACTGTGTGTCTCGGCAAGCAGCTTGAAAGCAAGAGTTTTTTTTTTAAATTTCGGCCAGTCGGCTGCACTATCATTTTCGTCTTGGGGGTTAGACAAGGGGAAGTAGCCATGTAGGGGCGTTAGCCCGCCTTTCGGCACCGGGAGTTGCAGCTCGCTCGACTTGACTCCACTGAGTGCAGAGGACCCACACATTGATCTGGTGAGCTGCGTCGTGGGGATTTTGCAGTCAGATGTGCGACTGCGGGGCTCGAACCCAAGAGTTTCTTATCCGTCTTCGTGTCTTGCCAACTCTTGGTTATAATCAGTGAAAGTAGGCTTCTCGATCATGTGCTCCCGATCCCGGCCCGACAGCGGTCAGGCCTTCAGGACTCGGCGGGAGGGCTGCTGGCTCCAATGATAGGGTTGCAATAATGATGATGTTATAGTAATAATTATTATGATAATAATGGGAGCAGCCTGAGCCACCTTTCTACACAGAGTCAGTGCTACAACACAGAGGTCACAGAAGAATCTGAATACAAGTTGTAGTCATGGTATTGGATAAACCTTGTTTTGTTCAAACATGTTGCTGGTTGACAGCATGTAACAAGGTGGAGGACACCGTGTTCGGAAAGGAAACAGTGACCTTTCTACAACCATCCACGGTTGGTAGAGCCCCGGTCTAGCCCCGGTCTGTTGAGACCATCTGAACCGTATGGGTCTTGGACCCGGTTCTGACCCTCTTTATTCTTGGGGAGTTTTTAACTTTTTATAGACTTCTCCTAACGTCAGTCGTGTATTCTGTGGTCGCTCCTGAATCAGAATGTCTTTTTGATACTCGCCAGCTTACAACAGTCACTGTCTGCCACCACCATGGACACTGTCGTGAGAAGGTGCTCTCTGTAGAGGAGGTTGGTGATGTCCCGACGCGGCCATGGGTAGAAAGGTCACTGTTTCCTTACACGGTGTCCTCCACCTTGTTACGTACATGCTGTCAGCCAACAACAAGTTGTAGTCAGTGTCCGATGTTTCGCAAAAAAAAAGCTATAGCGGAGTGTTACCAAGAAAGAGTACATCAGCTCTAAGGGGGCACATCTCTAGGTGTTACCAGGGAGGCTTTTACGACTCCATGGTGTTACTGTGAGAGTTCGGTGACTTGCCCAGCCTCTGGTATTGGTAAGTGACATGCACTGCCTGTCTAATACAGCCACCGTCGGACGGGCGCACAGGTCCAGCATTGCAAAGGCACATACTGTAGTACAAAGTTACAGTAGTAGCATGTAGCTCAGCAGTTCTACTGCATTCACTCCAAACAGCTACTGAGTACGATTCAGTCAGAATCAGTCCTCTGCTATAATTATAGCCATTACAGATCAAACTGACCTGCCAGGGTTGTGCAGACTGACAGACCGTCAACTCACAACGACAACAACCAGTATTGTACAATGTCATGTACGGTGATGTAATGTACTTGCAGAGCTTGGGTACATGCTATCGGCTGCTTCAGGAGCTGCAAACCTGGAGTGTGAATCATGCAGTATAACTGAAGTATAACTGCCACAGTGCAGGTATTCCAGACTTTCCCTCTCCCTCTCTGACTCTCCGTCTCCCTTTCTGACTCTCCGTGTCCCTCTCCTCTCCCTCTCCCTCGCTCTCTCTCTCTCTCTCTCTCTCTCTCTCTCTCTCTCTCTCTCTCTCTCTCTCTCTCTCTCTCTCTCTCTCTCTCTCTCTCTCTCTCTCTCTCTCTCTCTCTCTCCCCGGCTCCCCCTCTCTCTCCCCGGCTCCCCCTCTCTCATCAAGGGGTTAAGGCAACAACAGCACTGTCTCATCCAGCAGGTCAACCCAGATACAAATTAATACATCTCGATTGAACTGCCACGATAACAGTGCTACTACTTCGAAGTACACTTCTTCAAATTTCAATCGCTGGTAGATGTACCCTCCCACGTCCCCAATCATGATTTTTCTGCTCTGAACATCAACTACAGCAAGCTCGTTGTGCTGCTTACACTTACACAAGTATTAGTGACAGCTTCGCTTCAAGTTAGTTGAGCCAGGCGTTGGCTGATGTGTTGTGACTACGAAATTATTAAACACAAGACAGTGTGCTTGTTGATCGACACATGCTTGTTGATCGACACATGCTTGTTGTGTTAGCTTTACACCGACAGTCTCTGCCTGAGCGCGTCTTTACTTCGAAAGTTTCGAAATGAGAATTAGTTATGCCAGTGTCACAATGGCCCATGGGGCCCCTGCTAGTGCTCGTCGGGGAGGTGAGTCTGTCTATTGTGAACGGAAGATTTCCTCAACAAGATACAATCATTATGTACATGACTGTACATGAGAGGATCGTGTACGTAGTGTGATGGACCTTATCCGCAGACCGTTCACACTTCACACGCCGCGATACCAGTCAAGTGCCTGGCTCTTTAGTTTACCGGTAGATCAGTTCGTAAACCACTGCATTGTACAGACTCCGTGCACTGGCTGCTATGTGCGGAAAGCAGTGAAACTGAAACCCGCTACACACGTTTCTACAATGCAATTATGTACTTCTACTGCGGTGACTTGCGTGTGGCCCTGTTGCAAGTGTTGGTGAGTAGATCTACGAACTATTTTTCTGGTATCTACTCTCTGCAGAGGCCCTTCTATAATGCCAGCATCTTGCGTGCGGATCGTTGCGTTGCGAAGTGGTGCCTCATGCGAACTGAATGCGGCGAGACATGGCACCGTTTGTGCGGATACACTCGATTCGTTGGGCGACTGGACGGACAGGCCGAAGTAATCGTTTACTGGTTACCACGGACCGTCACACAAGGACACTTTCGAGTAATATCCAATTCCAGGTTTTGGATCATTTCCTCTCCATGTCGGGCCGAATCATGGAACGCTGCCGCCTCGACCATTTCCCGACCCAGCGCGTGGTTGCAGGAGGTGCGCGGTGGGGCCTTCTTCGGGGGACAAGACTTTGCAACATCTGCTCTCGGAGGTTGAGTAGGCTATTGGTGTCGAGTTGGGCAGAAGGAGGACTTGAGCGGAAGAGAAAAGGCTGAGACGCTGGCAGGTCGCAGCGTTCTTCCTTACTTTGAAACTAAAACATTTACTGACTGAGGCTCGGCTTGGATTTCTTTGCCGTAACTACTGGGAACAAAACGATTGTAGAATCGACTATTCTCCATCAACACGAAATCCAGTGCCAAGCACTAACGGAGAGGAGGCGGAAGTATCATGTGTAAGCCAGTGTGTACAAGACCGATCCCGGTCTTCCTCGTCTTGTCGACGTTAGCGGCACTGGGTCACTGCCGGCTGCCTAGCCTTGAAATGCCCGGGTTCGTTGCTGTAAACCCGGACAGACCAGTTGTCTCTCACCCTGATCAAAGAGGTAAGACTTTTAAAGTAGATCTACGAGTACTAGTAAGTAGGCGAGGGATATAGACATGCAGTTCACTCACTGCAACCCACATGCATCAGTTTGTGTACTTCTGGGCCGAGATGCAGGAAGCCTTGGTAGTTGTGCGAAGTAAAATATAAGCCTTAAAACTGTACTCGTAGTTCGCAAGGATTCGTAGAACCTCCGTAGAAAGTCTCATGTACAGGCATGTCTCTCCACCCATGATCAGTTGCTCTGAGTGCAGTTACATGTCGTATTCAGCGCACGCGTGTAGTGCACCTTGAACCGAGCCTCTATCAGCGACACATAGCCCAGAACTGCAAAAATGTGCACATTTACACTACGGTTTACACATCCACTAGTCCACTACATGTAGCAATAACATTGGATGACAACGTGGGACCTGCACATCAGAGCATGAAACGAGGGTTTCGATCGATGCAACACTGCATGTGCTGTACTTGATATTGCCATGCAATCCCGGCACCAAGGTCATACTGACCTAACGGCTGAGTTTGCACATCACATGGGGGTAAATAAAGTTGAAGGCAATAATACCAACATCCCCCTCTAACAATTTAATATCATGTTCACACTGTAGATCGTCCATTTCCAATGAACGTAAAGGAATGGGCATGTGTATTGCGTCCCCTGTGCCTTGTTTGCGGCTGCAGTATCATGGAGCACCTGGTCACCGTGGAGTAGCTGCTCAGCTAGCTGCGGCGGAGGATTGCAGAAGAGAATACGCTTCTGCCCACGCCAGGAGCAGCACGAGCATGGTTGCTATGGCGCTGGTGTGCAGGTGCGCCGGTGTTCGCTGGTGCCGTGCTTCGGTGAGTCTTGCACGACAAATGATTGTATTTGATATACTTGAAGCATGCCAAATGGCATCGTACTAGATATAGCACGCTACATGTACATGTACATGTACATGTATATATGCGGTGTAGTTTCCAGAGTCGGTTCAGCTAGGCAAGTATCAGTCACCAAGTGTACTCATACAGTCATGGGTCACATGCCAGTCATGACAATCATGTTGCTTGAGTGGTGCTAGTGCATTCGGCTATAAAGAACTAGTTCTTCTGCACAATGGTGCCGGTTTGCTAACAGTTTTATAAGGAGTCGACTGTGCAATGTATTGTATGATTTGTATCTGCTTCAACAACAGAGTACATGTACATACGAGTGTACCTACACACAATCAACAGTCTATACTATACAGACAACAAACAGAGATGTTAAAAAGAGAGGACAAAATAAGTTTACACTGAGTTATCCGTTTTGTCCTCTCTTTTTAATTCTAAAATCCTTGGCTCTCCATCCGAGTTTAAACATACATGTCTTCCTCCATATGTGCATAGGCCGGGGTCTGTTGGACTCGTGGTCTGCCTGGACGCAGTGGAGCTCGTGTTGTGGACAGCGTGAACAGCTGCGCACGCGCGCATGCCGAGTGCGTAACATGGACACACAGAAGGGCAGATGCCACGGCAGCTCACTGGAGGTCCGCGCCTGCGACTCGTCTACTTGTAATGGTAAGTGGAACTGCTCATGTACCGCATATGCACACCACATTTCCTGAAACAATACACCATAGTCAAATAGCGGACCATAGTTGAATGCAAGGGGTGAGGGCAGTTTGAACAATTGGTGACTAATGCATATAATATCAATGATAGTCACAGTATCGGTTCAGGAGCTTACTACTTCAAAAGTAGTGTCCCAGACACTTGGCACCAACACTCAGTGCATACTTTTGAATTAGTGAGCTCCTGAACCGATAATGTGACTATCATTGATATTCAGAAGCAGTTGTGTGACATGCGAAAGCCAACATGCATCTCACACATACCACAGCTGTTAAATCCCTGAAATGTACAAGTCACATCATTATCATGATCACTTTCCAGCGCTATGTGTACATATCTTGCAGTGGCGCGATATACATAATTGTTGTACATAATACTGTGCAGTGGCTTGCACTATACATGTCCCAGGTGCTTCACTTGTGCGTTATACGCTAGCTGATCAATGGAAAAGAAGCATCACAGACGGCTGTGCTATGAATGCATCCAGTGATTGTTCAGCATGCACCACATTCAAATGCTAGTGACAATGCCAACATTGACTAGTATATTCAGTGATGTATCAACTGTACAAATTCTGTCCAAATGCTTTGCTATACTACCTGTGCAGAAATGCATGCCGTCGCAAGTATCAACATGAACGGTGTGGTTGGCAACATCTCGTTCCGTCAGTCATCACTCTCCTCCGCCGTCTCCATCAAGATAGACCTACACGGCGCTGGGCTGGATGCACGCGGCATCACCTGGCACGTGCACGAATACCCACTGGACTACAGCACACTACCAGCACAGCAGTGCATGGCAGAGTCAGTCGGCGGCCACTATGACCCGTACCGCAAGGCTGGCCTATCACAGTACGCCATGCGCTGTGCAAGGAACGCTGCCGACTGCGAGACCGGCGATCTAAGCGGACGACACGGCGAACTGACACTCGGTGCAGCCTACGAGGACCGTTTTCTTCAGCTACGAGGAAAGGAAAGCATTGTAGGGCGATCGCTTGTACTGCATCGGCCGGATGGAAGCCGCTGGGTATGTGCTACCATTCTACCGGCAAGTCCTGCAGGCGGTAACAACATGCTGACTGCAGTCGCAAGATTCACTGGTCCTGTCATCGGTGGTACCATCACCATCCGTCAGCCCGCCGGTGATCCAAAAGCAGACAGCACTGTCCTGGTGGACCTGTATCGCACTGACGGTGCAGTGGTTGATCCACTTCCTTACGTATGGGGTCTGCACACCAGACCAGTAATAGTGGCCAATGACACTCTCCATACAGACGTCAGTATTCGCTGCCAGAGTGCTGGTTCTCGCTATGATCCCCTGGATGCGCGGCAGAACGTGAACTATGTACGAGATTGCAATAATCGCCAGCCAGAGAACTGTGCGTTTGGTGACCTGTCCAGCAAGCATGGTCGTCTGAGTGTTCCCAGCAGCGGTCATTTGCGAGCCTTCTACACTGATTCGTTCCTACCCCTGTCCGGACCATATCATGTAGTCGGCCGTCCTCTTCTGATCAGCGATGGAGTGGGAGACAGCCAGCGGATAGCGTGCTCTGACCTGCTCACTCTGGAGTCGCGCGAAATGTCGGCCACGTTTGACATGCAGGGAGTAAAGGGTGTGATGGTCTTCTCCCAGCAGTCGCCGTGGGATCCCACCTGGGTCACGCTCGACCTGAGTGGCCTGGCTGGCCAGGCCGCTGGCTATCACGTGCATGAGTTTCCGCGCTCCGTGCTCGGCACGGTGCAGTACGGGTCGGCCTGCAGTGCGCAGGAAGTCGGAGGGCACTGGAACCCGTTCCGGGCGCCGTTTCCGGTCACTGTGCCTCCTGGTTTTGCTAGCACGCCCGATCTGTATGAAGTTGGCGACTTGAGCGGTAAACACGGCTCTCTGGCCAATCTACAGAGTGTCCAGCAAGAGATGTATGACGGGCAGCTGCCATTGTTCGGACCTCACAGCATTGCAGGTAGATCAATTGTGATTCATCGGAATGCACCCAATGCTCCACGCTGGGTGTGCGCAAACATTGAAATGCCGCAGACAGCCAAGCGCATTGCAGTGGCACACTTCTATGCGCCACTGGCAGGGACAATCTACTTCCGACAGATCGACGCCTTTGAAACGTCGGTGTTTGTGGATCTGGCGCGTACCGATGGCGGCCCTTCATCAGCTGGCCATCACTGGCACATCCACGCCAATCCAATAGGTAATGATCGCTTTCCAAGTGTTGCACAGCGTTGTCAGTCTGCCAGTGGTCATTACAATCCGTTCAACGTGTCCGTAGCACAACTCACATACAACTGCAATGCTCATGATCAGATGCGATGTGAACTGGGCGACGCATCCGGCAAATCATCACCGCTAGACTTCATGGCGACCGGCAGCAATAGGTTTGTCTACACTGACGTCTTCCTGCCGCTGCAAGGTCGCTTCTCCGTGCTCGGGCGCAGCGTTGTCGTTCACACTGCCAATGCCGGTGCCCCTCGTTTGGCCTGCGCCACTATTGAGCCGTACGCCGACCGGAATGCGCAGGCGTCGTTTGGCAGAGCGGGCGTGTCCGGCTTCGTTTCCTTCCGGCAGGGTAGCCCATTCTCGTCGACGGTGGTCACCGTGCAGCTGAGTGGTTTGCGTGGAAGAGCCAGTCACTATGCACTGCACTACCTGCCCTCGGCCGAGCAGGCAAGCAGTGCAGTGGCCATGGCAAGTCCACCAGTCACCACGCCACAGGAGTCGTGTAGTTTGACCACTATAGGTCAGGTGTACAATCCAATGGGTGCTCGCTTTGATAGTACAGTGGCGGCAAACACTGCCAGCAGTGCTAGCAATGACAACAGCAAAACATTCTCTGCAGATACAGTAGCAATAGGGCAGCTTTCCTGGAAGTTTGGTTCCCTGGAGCGCCTCACCGGGGTGGTTTCATCATTCGCCGACACGCACTACCTGCCGATGTCAGGACCACTGAACTTTGTCGGCCGCTCCGTATCACTTCATGACCGGCAAGCCGATACTCCATGGGTCTGCAGCAATGTGAACTACCTGGGCGGGCGGCTTGTCACGGCCGTGGCAAAGTTCACTGGTCACCTGCAGGGCGAAGTACGCTTTGAGCAAGTTGACAACTTACCTACCCAGATCACTATACGACTGCAGCACGCACTGCAAGCCATCGCCACCGCCAGTCACCAGTGGACAATCAACGTCATGCCTGTAGGAACGGACGCTATGGCAGTAGGCAACCAGCGATGTATGAGCGCTGGTCCCGTTCACAACCCAGCCAACGTCAGCGTGACCGACAGGCTGTACTTACGCCGCTGTAGTTCACTATCGGCGACTTGTCAGCAAGGCGATCTCTGGTACAAGCATGGCATGCTGAGATTGGCCGGTTCACAGCAGCAGTCATCGTTGAGGGTTCTACTGACTGAGGAGTTTGCACCACTCTCCGGACCATTTTCAGGTAAGAGTGCGATTGATGACGCTAATACTCTCCGATTGAATGTCATTTTATTCTGTAGCCAATGTATGCAAGTTGCATGTATACATGATTTATTACGAAACACATGTAGCTAATGTATGCAAGTTGCAAACTATTTACACTCATCACATATCGGATGATTGATTACATTTAGTGGCCGTCTGGAGTTTTCAATGCATGAACATGTGTTCATTATTTTTATGATGTGACTCTATATATGTGTGTGTGTGTTTCTGGTGCTCAGTAATTGGACGATCAGTTGTCATCATGTCTCAGGAAATGGGCGCGGAGCGAATTGCCTGTGCAACGATTCAGCAACAGTGATTGCCTGATTGGTCATCTTGGGCCACCTCTACGTACGACTTTGTGTCTATACCATGGACAGCTGCAGCTGAAGAGGGAGGTGTTTCAAAGCGGCTGTGTACTACAGTAACGTGCTGCTGATACACGGAGACTCCCTCGATTTAGGCTAAGGCCTGTGGAGAATCCATAAATACAATTACAATACAATACAGGCTCAAGAGTCGGCAAAACCGAACAACTGACTTTGCAACCCCATTATAATTACATCTAGTAGCCACTCAATGGGTGACAAGAAAGGTCTTCACCTAGCCGCGAAATTTCACACCTTCAAAAACTATTTTTGTTTCAATCCTCGTCATCACTGGCACTAGAAAGCGGAACTGCTCAGTGCTACTACTGCTAGCACACAGCATACATGCTAAGCTGCACAGTCAGCTGCTGTTACTGCACTAACGACGTCAGTGTTAGCAGTATGCACTATGCACCTGACACATGAATGGAAAATACATGCACATCCATGCAGTTACATTGCAACAACTGTACTACATGTATCATAGAGTTCACACTTCAAAGTACTAGTAACCTCATAGTCACCTGTAGTGTTAGGCATCCATTAGGAAGAACATCCATAGAGCCTAGCATGAAGCATGTTCCTTGACAATAACTCACCCGCCGCCATTTCTCATAATTATACATATAGCTGCCAGCATGCATTACGCTGTCAGTACTTTGAAGTATTTTATATAAACTAAACTTGCTTTTAATAGCTTGCACATAAACCCATGTAATGACTATGTATTTGACGTTGATTCCACGCAGACAGTATCACATACATGTACTCATGTATCTGTACAACCTTCATTTCTAGTGAACTGAATCTCACTGTGTAACAGGGCACTACACGCATGGTTTGGAAACTGCCTGTAGTGGGATGGAGTGCTTGTATGGTGTCAATGCACTTCTGTTGTAAAAAAAAACCACGTCAACTAAACTCGCGCTTCAAAGTAGCGGGGTGGAGTGCTTGTATGGTGTAGACCCTTTACGGGCAATTGCACGACTTTCGATCATGATATGATAGAAACTTCAAGCGGAGATTTCAGCGGGCAATCTTCATCGTTTTTCGATTTTTTCCCCCGATAAATCCACAGCTGAGATGCATGCGGATCGAATTAGCATAAATCTACGTACGTCACACGTAAAAAAGTTCGCGAAAAATCCCACTGAACATTGCACACTTAACAGTGCATTCGCTCTCAATGGAACTCAAAAGTTTTCCAACACTTCACTTTGGCAACTTTTATTGATCCGAATTTTTGGTCTGGTCTTTTTTTATGAAAGCTTTATCCATCTAAACCGATCTGCTTACTTGTGTATAACAAATCATAACCATTCTTAAGTTACAGCAGTCAATCGAATGCTGCATTTTCCACACTAATTTAATTGGTCCATAAAGGGTTAATATATATGGACCAATGCACTACTACTACTGTACCCCATCTCTCTCTGTCTCTCTGTCTCTGTCTCTGTCTGTCTCTCTCTCTCTGTCTGTCTCTGTCTGTCTGTCTGTCTGTCTGTCTCTCTCTCTCTGTCTCTCTCTGCCTCTGTCTCTGTCTCTGTCTCTCTCTCTCTCACACACACACACACACACACACACACACACACACACACACACACACACACACACACACACACACACACACACACACACACACACACACACACACCTTCCTTCCTTCCTTCCTTCTTCCACTGCCATGACTGGCTATGTGGCCCCATACGGGGCAGACCAGGAGACGTGTTGTCCACCGGGCGGGGAACGCCATACTCAGCGCGCGGGCCGCGCGAACAGCGTTACACTTGTGCCTCGCAATATCCTGCGGCCGACGAAAACTGCGCGCACAAGTGCCACAGATGAGGGGCTTCGCCACAGGCTCCATGCGGGACTGGACAATAGCGTTGACAGCATCACGGCAGGTGACCCGCCATCCCTGTCGATCTTGGACGATGTCACCAAGCTGCTCCAGAGGAACGCCAACAGCCATCAAGTCGCACTTCGCGGAGTCCTTCCAGCGCTTACGGGGTCCATGCGGTGGACGTTTGGAGGGAACCGCGCCGTACAGCAGCTGACGAGGGATCCGATCTTGCATGCGGGACACGTGGCCAAGCCATCGAAGTCGGCGGACTCTGACTTTATCCGCTATCTCCTCCATATCGCCCCACATCCTGCGAACCTGGAGAGAGGAGATGTGCTCCTCGATCTGCCGGCCACGATTTATCTTCAGGATGGAACGCACGCACTGCAGGTGAAAGGACTCCAGGCGACGGACATCACGCTGCCTGACGGTCCAACTCTCAGATCCATAAAGAAGGACCGCCAGGACAGTCACTCCATACACAATGCGCTTGATGGCGATGCTGAAGTCATCACTGTCGAAAACCGACTCCCGCAGTGTACAGAACGCACCCGATGCAGCAGCAACTCGCCGAGACACACACACACACACACACACACACACACACACACCCTTCCTTCTAGCAGACTGTGCTATACTGAAAAGTGGCACTGTCACAGCAGGTGAAATATGATTTCAGCACTGCTGCCGCCAGGGGAGTTACGATTTCAGCACTGCTGCTGCCTGCTGAGTTTGCATGGTAGGCTCCGTTTTTTTCAATAGTAATTTTTTTGTTTACAGAAAAAGTTCAAAACACAAGGTCTGTCATACAAACTAGAAAAACAAAGTTGCCGAGCCATATTACACTCTATAGCTATGGACCCAAAGTAAGAATTCAATACTTGAAATTTGAATGAGAATATTTGATTCCATAAGCCTTGTTTATTACTCGTGTCATGTTCACCAGCCAATCCCGCGTTCTTGTTAAAAATGAATAGTGAAGTACTGAAGTACTAGTATGATTTTGTTACAATTTTTCTTGGAAATCTGAATCTGGCAGCAGAGTGCAACACGAGAAAAAAATGATGATAAAAGTGAAGCCAAGACTAAAATGATGACGAAAGTGAAGCCGAGACTCACTGACACGGGTAAGTAGCCATGGCGTAATGCAACCATCCCCAAGACAATGACTCCTCGGGGCAAACGGAGCCAGTACGCCAGGTTTCTCTATCTCCCTCTCTCGCACTCCCTCACTGAGTGTAGAGACTGGCGGCAAAGACAATGTCACGTTTGATCAGCTCCGACGCCTTCTCCATTTTGGCAAAGAAAGCTGGATCGCCATAGAGACGAGCTGCATTGCGGACATCCTTGCAGGCTTCATCTAGACGTTGAATACAACGCACAATAGTTCCTGAGCAAACGGGCAGGAAGGCACAACAAAAACATGGACAAGGAGGTTTAGCATGACTTCCTCGGATTTTCATCAAGCGCAGGAACGGAATAAAATGAAAACCTGCGGGATTTTATGAGTTTCATTGAAGTAACCGCGTGTGGATCGTTTGCTTGCAAGTGAGCTAAACTTGGTAGGTTCTGAGCTGAAGGTGCTGAGCTGAAGGTGGATGTGCCTATTTCTGTGATGTAGCCGGCTGCAGACACAACACCAGTATCTAGTAGGGGCTACACCAGCAACAGCTGTGCCATCTTCAGAGACCCCCTGAAGTGGGCAATGCCAAGTGGAGACTCTGGGTGGGCTGGTGCAACAAACAAGCCAGCCACCAGCCTCAGGGACAACGCTAAGCAGACATCGGCTCACTACGAGTCACTAGCAAGCCATGGTGGATGCCATCAAGAGCAAACTTGCACGGATGGAGGCAGCACCAGTCAACCCTATGATACTACAAGCTTGACATGAAGGTAATCAATTGGTAGCGAAATGCAGGAATTCCTCTATAATGTTGATGTGGATGGAGATATTACTGCTTTAGCATACAGCAAAACAGTTCTCTAAAAGACACAAAACGCAGGTTACGGATCGGTCATATTCGTGAGAGCGCCAACAAATCCGTCCAGTTTGGTGGCAGGGTGTTTCGAAGGCCTGTACACTGCTTCAACGGTGGCCAGTCCGGATACATCACCCGTCAATACACGCGTTAACAACAGCAGCAGCAGCAGCACTGTGCATACTTTGTCGCCATGGCATGTGAAATGCGGGGTACGAGAAGTGGGTCTGTCACCGCCAAGTAAGCAGAAGCCGTCCAAAGCAAGGTCGGACAGCTGAGTATTGGTGATGACAGACCCTCAGTGATCAGGCAAGATTCAACTGCGGAAGGCTTCTTAGCCATTGCCAGCTCCAGGCTACGCTATTTCACCAACACCAGCCAGTACAAACTGTTCATACAACATCTCCTTGTAAACAACACTAGAAGCGGCACAAATACAATTATGCAACAACTGTTCCTGCAACATACCTTCGTCAACATCAGTGATGTCCGTGATGTCGGCAAACGGCTATACAAATACACATGCACGAACACACATGCACACACACGCACATGCACACACACAGCAGGGAAGACAACATCATACATAACAAATAATAATTATCGTACTCGTCTACAGGTCTGCCATATGTTAGTTCACTAGCCTGTATCCAGAGTTACTGAACTTGGGACACAGTGCCTGCACACTCACTAACAGTACAGCTAGGAATAGAAATCAAATGAGCCCAACATGCCCACTGGTGCACTGCTCTGTAGCAAGACATTACGACTATTCCTCGTTCGCTCAAAGATTGCATCATAGATTTCGCTAGTGCTACATGTACAGGTGAATTGCATCATTCCATACGAGTATCTTGATGCTGTGCAATGAACAGCTACAGGCATGGCGGTACAAACAACTTGCAAGATAGAGACAGACAGACAGACAGACAGACAGACAGACAGACAGACAGACAAAAAGGAGACAGACAGATAGAAAGAAAGAGAGAGCTAGAGAGCTAGAGAGAGAGAGAGAGAGAGAAAGCCACACAAAGAGCACATCTTAAGGCAGATCAGTGATGGCTACTTCGAAGAGCTATCTCACCATGCCACGTGCCCATTCATAAACCACTTCCACCAGACCAAAGTGCAAGATGTTGTCATAGTCCTCAGGCGTGACATCAAGACCGCACTGGCCCTCAATTACGGCTATGGACTTAGCAACTTCAAGCACGTCCTTCTTTCCCTGCAGCAGCACACAGGCAGTAGACACAGCTTTCTTCATTGTAACAAAAAGAGTTAGAATGGAAACATTCACCAAGCTCTAATATAATAGTTGTCATGGAACACATCACATCCCTTGTGTACAGCACACATAGTGCACACAAATATGTACCCCCACACACCCACATAATTCGTCAAAGATTGGAGCAGCTCAGTGAAAGGTAATCTGTATGCTTTTTTTGTGACATTTTAATTATAGGTTAGTGCATAGCAAGGAGGGCCTTATGGCTTGTTAGCGCCCGACAGGTAAGCCTGAGGGCCGTAGGCCCGAGGGCTAACCCGAAGGGCACAAACAAGCCATAAGGCCCTCCTTGCCATGCACTAACTATTTTAGAACGAGGTAACATGCATTATCTCACTTCCATTATGCTTGTGTACCATTATATTGGGTAGTCGTGTGGTTTGTGTGCAGAAAGAATTGGTGTGGTAACTCAGCACCACTGAGGACTACTAGAAGGAGAATAGAAGCAAACGAAAAGCTGGGCTCTTGTTGCGAGCTTCATTCTTATTCATAGCTTGCGGAGCTATTTAGGGGCTTCGAGGGCCCAAGTCCTTAGACGATGCTGTTTTGCAAAGAATCCACGTTATCACGGGTCATAGTGGCAGGGAAACTACATATGTATCGGTTTGCAAGAAAACATTGTTTTATTGTCGATGTAGCAGCTAAATGTCAGAAATTGGTATCATCTTGCTCCGCCTGTGTTGCTGCTAATAGTAAAACTGGAGCAGTTGCTCCGTCCACTCGTTCGTGTTGCCCTCTGGTCCCGGGCACACTGTCCAGATTGACAGCCTGGAACTTGGAACATCAGCCACCTCCCATGTTCATTGTGTTATTGTCTGTGTTGACATGTTTTCAAAATGGGTTGAAGTTGTTCCCTTGAGACGCCGCGATGCCCGGAGTGTCGCTGATGCTTTCGCACAGATTGCTGCGCTGGAAGTCTACTCTGCTATATCGGCCTGCTGTCGCCTACATCACCTCTTCTATTCTCCTATTGTATTTTTCTCTGATCGTATCTCCCATAGTCTTGAGCTATACTGAATCAAAGAGACTGTCTTGTTGCTGTCTGGCGTGTGCATGGGTGACAAATTTCACCTAGCTAGCATCCACCCTGAGAGCTGTGAGGCCATAGCAGCTGCACTGGATCCCAGGTTAAAAGATTTAGCGTTCTTGGTCGATAAATCGAGCAAGCCTTTGAGAACCCCCTACACTTGTGGCATGCATGTGATGTTGAAGCGACCTGGCCACAGCCAGAAACGATCACCACCGTCTGAGCCTGGCTGGAGAGTAACATCTGTAATCTGCCCTTCTTCTATTGCCATCGAGCAATTCAACAATGGCAGGCACTGTATAAAGAGTGTGAGCATTGATCACGGTGCTGAGCTGGATGTCTACTTCTAGCACTAGTAATTTTTCAAGTAATTTTTAAATCGACAACAGTAGGAACAGATCTTGTCAGTGCTGCTTGCCACTTGTACATAGTGCATCCCTATCATAACACTTGTACATAGTGCATCCCTATCACTTGTACATAGTGCATCCCTATCACTTGTACATAGTGCATCCCTATCATAAGTATTATACATACATTACATAGCTATTCAGCTCATTACCTGCTGTAGGACTGGGGTAAGTTTCGGCTCACTGCAGCGTTTCTGCACAAAAACAAAAAGCAAGCAATCACACATTTCGTTGTGTTCAGCAGCATCAGCAGCATCAGCAGCAATGCTGCAACCCCATTTTTGATTATACTCTTGTTGACTATCTTCATCTCCGAGGGGATCCATGACTGATGAATGGGCAGTAACCAGCCTACATGATGGCTGACAGCAGGTGACTTGATGCATTTCGCTATCGGTGTATTGTACTGTATTCGTTCCATACTAGCTATCTGTAGTAGTCAGCAGCAGCAGCGGCAGCACAAGCAGCAGTCCAAGCACATCACAACGTGTGTGCATGCGTGTGTGCATGCGTGTGTGCATGCGTGTGTGTGCGCGCGCGTGTGTGTGTGTGTGTGTGTGTGTGTGTGTGTGTGTGTGTGCCCGGCAAACGCCCACAATGTGGTCCCAAGAAGCGCTGGCGGGATGTTGTGTCCTCGGACTTTGCTGTCATCGGTTTGTCTGAAGCGGACTGGTATGACACAGCGCAGGAGAGATCCACCTGGTTTCAGTGTTGTCGACGGAGGGTCGAGAAGGAAGCCCCAGACAGCCCGTGCCCCAACTACCGCTGTGACAGAGTGTTCCGTCGTCCTGGTGACCTCAAGCGGCATGCGCCATACTGCAGATTTCGAGTTAAAGGGGAAGTGCATCGATTTTTCGACTAGGGTCCAGAAGAAAGACAATTTGATATCGGTTCGAATGGCATATCTCTCGCTTCCATACGATAAGCCAAACTTGCCAAATCGCCGATTGTATACTCACGTTGCCATAGCGACCAGCGCAGTGATGACGTATGAAAGGCTTAGCTCCACCACAGAGTTGGTCGATTACTGCAGAAATTGGTCATTTTTAATTGTCTTATTATTGTATTCACGATGTGAAAGAAGCGCTGTGTTCAATGCTGTTAGTGCCATGAACTGTTTATCGGCCTTCTCCTACATTTGCCTAGGCTGACTGTGCCTGGGAAATGGTCCCTCTCGGAGAAGATGCTTGGTATTCGCCATCTCTCCTGAGACATTTTCAGCAAACTTTCAAACCTACGACATTATTTCATTCATCAATCTCCACCACCCGTCGTCTCACCTTGCTTCAGAAGATGGTACGAGAGATAGGAGAGTCGCCAGGAAGCATCACATCCATCTTCAGGAAGTGGAAAGAGCAAACGGCATGGTCCTTGGTTGGGGGAAATGCTGAACGTCTGATTTGTCCCAACCAAGATTTCAGCATTTTGTTCGTCACTATTTTCGCTTGTCTGCTGATGTTTTCGCACTCCAGCTTTCTCCTGTCGGTGTCACGTCCCAGTACACAACCGAGAGGACTACTAATAAACAGTTCACTACACTAACAGCATTGAACACAGCGCTTCTTTCACTTCGTGAACACAATAAACCAATTGAAAATGACCAATTTCTGCAGTGATCGACCATCTCTGTGGTGGAGCTAAGCCTTTCGTACGTCATCACTGCGCTGGTCGCTATGGCAACGTGAGTATACAATCGGCGATTTGGCAAGTTTGGCTTATCGTATGGAAGCGAGAGATATGCCATTCGAACCGATATCAAATTGTCTTTCTTCTGGACCCTACTCGGAAAATCGATGCACTTCCCCTTTAAGAGCCTCAGCGTGAGGAAGCCATCGCTATCATTGCTACGGCAATGGGCGTTCAAGGTTCAAGGTTCAAGGTGTGTGTGTGTGTGTGTGTGTGTGTGTGTGTGTGTGTGTGTGTGTGTGCGTGTATGTGTGTGTGTGTGTATGTGTGTGTGTATGTGTGCATGCGTGTGTGTGCTCTAATTAACTACAGCAATAGCAAAGCAGCAGCAGTGTGACTGTGTGTATGTAACTTACCTGCTGGAACACAATACAGGAGAGGAGGGCAACGATCTCACTGGGCTCCAAGTGTGTCAGCTTGTTTTTAAAGAGCAGCTCGGTGACCAGCACCTCCTGGTTGTGCATCTCTCTAGCAACCTTGCCCTTCAGCTTGATAGAGCTGTCCTCGTCGATGTAGCTCAGGTGTCGCAACACCTGAGAGAGTGGGGACATGAATGCACACATCGTATACAGGAACACATTACGGGGTGAATATCCACACTCATTAGGACACACACGGTACAATCCCGACATCATGTAGTGTACTATTCTCCCCCTGTTCTGCATGATGACAAGACTTTAGCATGCCGTGCAATACTGGCAATCAGCCGGAGCAATACCGGGACTCAAATAGTCACTGGGCAATGGGTAAGGTGAAGAGTTCATAATATATGTTGGACTCAGTAGAGCGTCCAGCCCCTATATGATGTCCAACCCCTATATAGAGTCCATTGGTCCAAAATCCACTGTACAGAGTCCAAACTTGGAATCAACTGTGAGCTCAAAGTTTAGATGGACATCACTCCCTGTAGTTGGACAGCCTTTTGACACGGTGGTACAGGCAGCTCTTGTCCAGTCAAACAGGGTATCCTTGTGGCGTCGAACGAAAGAGAGTGTCAGTGTATCTGACTCGTCAGATTGGAACTGTGCTGAACTTTTCTCGTTCTCCGCTTTCTGCTTTCATCCCTCGCTCTGATGAAACTGTTCAAACGCCTTACTGGCAGCAATGGCCAGCCAAACAGGGGATCCTTGTGGCGTCGAACGAAAGAGAGTGTCAGTGTACCCGACTCGTCAGATTTGAACTGTGCTGAACTTTTCTCGTTCTGCAATTTCTGCTTTCATCCCGCGCACTGATGAAACGTCTTCAGAGAACCACAAGACGCTTTCCAGATTAATTTTGATTTTGAACGTCTCCTTATCCTGCTTGGTTACCTCGAGACAGATTACTGTCAGCAACTGCACAGCAGAACTGGCAGCCATGGCTGAAGTGAAGAAAGGAATGCGCTGCCACGAGGCAAGCAAAACTGAAAAGGTGTTTGTTCTCTTCAGTTTCGGGCACAACACACAGGACGGCGTGACTGGATAAACTGGACCCCTGGACCGTGATATACCGTGACTTGTAGAAAAAGTGTACTCCTTATAGGGGATTGCGCGGCAGGATGAAGCTGATCAAAACTGAGTGGACTCCTGGACCATGTGGACTCTGTATAGTGGATTTTGGACCAATGGACTCTATATAGGGTGCTGGACATCATATAGTGCATGGACTCTATACTGAGTCCTACATATATATAACCCCCAAGAGTGTGCAACTCCAGCTATGGGGTCTGCGACGGCAGAGCATCACATCACGTGACGAACCCGTACACACTATTTGCACGCTGTGCATGATAGATCCAGGGCGCCAGCTTTGCACTTTGGGTCGGATTTCAGTGAGCGCAACTGTATAATGTCAGAAGGTGCAACAATGGGGCGCAGCACGGACAGAGTGCTGGCACATTCAAAGGCCTGACCCCTAGCTCAAAACACATCTCCACAGTGCAAAGTCCAGCAGCCTTCCGACTTGGTTCTGGTCCAAACGGGAAGA